AGTGAGCCCTGTAGTTGCCCAAGCGCCCTGGGCTGGTTCAGGACTGAGTGTCCAGGCTGATTGAGTAAGGGCTGGGTCAGACTGTTGCAACGGGAGGTTGGGGCTTCAGAGGACTTTCCATTTGAGCCTTTACCCCACTGTGTCTCTGCCCAGTCAGGTGATCCTGTCAGCCTTCTCTGGGCCCCAACAAACCTCTCTCCCACTTACCCATGCCAGCTGGGGAGAGGTCTGGCCGCACATATCCCAGACTCTCAGAGCGGGGAGGGCCACCCACCTCATTTTATGGATGGGAGAACTGAGGTGCAGGGAAGGGAAGGACACTTCCTCGAGGTTTTCTTTGGGTAGCTGAACCGTGCTCAGGAAGGCCAGCTACATCTTGGGCACCGTTTGGGAGATCTGACTTTGAACAGAAGCCTCCATCCTTTTCCTCTGCGCTGAGCCCATCTCGGTTGTGTGATCTGGACAGGCTGTCTCCCCTCTTGGAGACTCATGTCCGCATTGTTAAGATGAGGAGGTTGGAGTCTATCTCAGATGGCCCTTCTCTGAACCTCTGACTACCTGAGATCCTCTGATTCTCCCCTGTCTGGAATGCTGACATTCCAGACTCAGAACAGACTACAGAGCATGGGGAGCCCCGAAGTGCAGGTTGAGTGACTCAGAACCTGCAATGAAAGCACCCATTCACTCAGTAAGAACTAACCGTGTGCCTGGTGCGTGCCAGGCATTGCTCTGAGCCCTGCAGACCACACAGTGAGCAGGACGGACAAGGCCCCTGTCCTTCCAAGGCTCAGAGCAATGGCTTGGAGCTCAGGCCTTGGGCTTTGACAGTCCTGAGTTTAAATTCTGGCTCTTGTGCTTTCTAGCTGTAGGACTTTGGGTGAGTTGAGCTCCCTGGGCCTTGGTGACCTTGTGGGTAAAATGAGATGAAGAATAGCATTGGCCTTACAGAATGGGCCTGAGGGTTTAATGAGATGGTGCACACAGTGTCTGACACCTGGTCACCCCTCAAAAACAAACTGCTCAGTATGAGGGCTAAGTGGGGTGCTTGCTCCCTGAGTAGACAAAGGTGAGCTATGACATGGCCTCTAGGGCGCTGGAGCCACAGCAGGGCACCTGGGCTTGCTTTGCAAACCCAATGGCACCAGCCCACTGGGGCCTCCTGAGCACCGAGTGAAGATTTCCCCAGCAGACAGCAGTCACGGGGTGCCATCCTGGAGGAGAGACAGGTCAGAGACAGCAGTGGATCCACCTGGATCCTAGACTTCCTCATGTGGGGCCAGTGGCCTGAGAGATCCTTGTGGGGGTGGTGCAGCTGAGGCTAATTTGTTTCCCTCGTCCCTGCACAGAGCTGGCACGTAGGTAATCGGTAAGGACCTGCTGCTTGGATGAACGAACACCTCCAGGAATGGCCGAGGCACCTGAATAGGCATCCGTAGAATGGTCTGTCCCATCTCCTGTGTTGTGTACAGCAAATGGCATTTGCCACTGCTGTAGTCGAATGTTTTTATATTGGCCTCAGGCTGGTTTCGCCGTACAGTTTAATGTTTCCCAAGCACTTACAGATGCCTTCTCCCTGGGGCGGTGCACAGCCACACAGCTCAGGAGTGAGCGCTCCTGGCCTTTTGGATCTCCCAGCCCTCACTGGCAGGGTGTTTTTGCCGCCCACCACCTTCTCTCCGTCCTCACCTGGCAGCAAGGGCCCACCCTTGTCTAGAGAGGGGGACCATTTGGTGACTTGAGACGTAGAGCGTGGTGTTCTCGGAAATCTCACTGCCTTTTTCTTTCCCACAGTGGACTGGTTTCCTGTCTTCCGCGACCTGGTCAACATTGGCCTGAAGGCCTTTGCCTTCTGCATGGCCACCTCACTGACCCTGCTGACCGTAGCTGCCGGCTGGCTCTTTTACCGGCCCCTGTGGGCCCTCTTCCTTGGCTGCCTGGCCCTGGTGCCCATCATCGTTGCTCGGACACGGGTGCCAGCCAAAAAGCTCGAGTGAAACAGGACCTGGCACCCACCCAACATCCATGTGAGCTTCAGGATCTGGCATGCCCCCCACTTCCCTGACCCTGCTGCACACCAGCACACGAGTGCACATTGGGTTTGGATTCTGCACCTGCTCTGCTCTGCAAGGAGCCAGCCTTGGCGGTGTGCCCTCATGTCGGGTTGGTGTCCATCTGCTAACGTCTCTTCACCCCCTTTCTTGCCAGTAAACAGCTTCGATGGGCAGAAGGCAGCTCCTCTCTGGCAGCATGACAAGTGTTCTCCTACTTGTTTCCTCCCCTTCTCTGGGGACTGTGTGTGTGGCTGGTTCTCGTGCTTCATTTAGCTGATGTCTGCAGATGTCAAGGCGACACAGACCTGCTGCCTTACCCCTTACTGCCCCTACCCCGGAGATGAGTGCCGGGGCTCCGCCACAGCCGCCAGCTGCACCCTGGATGCTGCAGGGCCGCCTGTGTCATCAGCTGTCTCCAGTCAGTGCCTGACTGCCGGGAGACTAAGCCCATGTCCTCCAAAGCCATGGAGTGTGTGAGCAGAACTTGATTCGGTTTTTCAAACAGAAAACCCACTGGAGATGTGGAAAAACTTGGACATTTGTCGGCTTTATACTCTTTTCATGGTTTGGCAGAATCTTTTTAGTGTACGGGATCTCCAAAGGCCCTGAGTTTTCGTGGCTTCACTTAGTGTGTGCTTCAGGGTCGCTTCGTCTACCCTAAGAGGGAGTCATTTGAAATAAGATTTGAAAAGCAAAACAGAAAACCTGAATGATGAACATTTCAGACTGTTATAGAAAAAGACACCCTTTAACCTGTTAGCTGAAGTTAATTCAGATCACAGAAGTGTTAAATGGGGGTGTGACTTATCTGGCTTAAATACGAGAAAACGTTACCACTGTCAGTGTTCTGGGTCACTGGGAAGCTTTAAGACGCTTTTGAAACAAGTGTTAGCAAAAGGCTTTTTCCCTCTGGGAGTTGGGGAATCTCTACAGAATAAAGCGTTTCCTTTCATCCTCTGGCATCAGACACTATACTTATGTACTTGAAGATAGTTTTGAGTTTTTAGTCAACCATCAAAGGAAAAGGCTGGGAAAAACGGTGAGGAAAGGTTGGAAGCTTCTTTATCCTACCTTCCTTCCTAGTGACCCCCAGTCAAAATCAAGACTTAGCGGCCTCAGGCTTGCTGTGGATTTGAATGCGCTTGTCTGGCCTTGTTCCCTTCATCGTGAGAGCGTGAGAGTACTTCCGACAGGAGCAGCCAGGCCTCCAGGGGCTGCTTCTGGGGTTTGTTTTATCTGTCTTATCCACCATGTTGCTCTTCCAAAGCAAAACTTACCCACACTCAATTCACGTATTTCCTAAGTTTCCCAATTACTCTCATATCCTTTGGAAGATTATATTGTAACCTTGATGTCCTGAAAAATTCTTTGTATTATCTTTTATCTTTTCACTATTTGGAAATTGTTCTGCCTTGCTGGGAGTGGTTGCTTTAGCAAGTACTTGGTAGTTGAATAGGGGTCAGAACTTCTGGAAATAGCAACCTAATACTTTCTCCTGTTGTCCTGGTGTATCTGGGCCACAAACTGAGATGCTTCGTGGCAAAGACAGCAGGGCCCAGAGATGATTTGTGTGTTTACAGACCGAAATAGCATCACTGCTGTTCACCACGGCCTGTTCACTGCATCTCTGAGTCCTCACAGGCTGCGTTTGGAAACCAGATGATGGCCGCACACAAAGCCATGGGGTTTGGTCTTCGTGATTCTTCCCAGCACAGGCTCCAAGTTACTGCCAATTTCAAGTGTTCTTCAGGAGCAAAATAATGTTAATATTTGATGCCTTTGAAAAATCGTGAAATTTGTATTCCCTTTGTATTTTTGATAGGAAATCAAAATAAATTTCTAAATGTCTTTTATTGGACCTTGTCATTATCCCTTTTGGTTTTGTATTCTTTCTGAAATTTCTATTGTAAAGAATTCAGCCATAAAATTTAGTAAAAACTGTATGAATTTAACTCAGTTGTAAGTTGTTTTTAGTGGTTAAAGTAGATTAAAAAAAAAAGGCAACTCGGTATTTCTAGCATTTAGAAGTCTTAAATACCAAAGTCTACTGTGTTTTGGATGGAGTTAAAGTGAATGACTCACACTTCACCCATTCTCAGAATGTGCTACAAGAAAGGCGTGGGATAGAACCACCGTCCAGTGTGGCGCACACGGCATCCTTGGCTTTGGGTTGGCGCAGACCTGAATTCCAACCCCAAGCCCCCCACCCATGGGCTGTGTGATGTTGGGAGCATCAATGCTCTCTGAGCCTGCTTCCACACCTGTAAAATGAGGACAGTGCCATCCTACTCATACCAGTCTACTGTGAGGACTAACTGGGAGAAAACCCATGAAACGCCAAACACACATGACACATTTTCATTCCTTTTGCCTCCTGTTCTGCAGCAGTGAACGGCTGCTAATCGTCCACTCAAACTAGCAATTTGAAGTTTTTTTTTTTTTTTTGCTACAAGATTTGAAGCAGGTGGTAACTTTCTAAAACCTATTCTTTTATTTCTCAAAACCCAATGTTTTATTTGACTTCAATAATGCCCCCTAGGAGCTGACATCTGCCTGAAAAACAAGTTATTTCTGCAGACAGGGTGATGCTCGACTGAACTCCCAGGAAACAAGTCGCTTATTTCTAGAAGAAGGGCTCCAGTGCAGGAAGAGTGAGGGCTGCAGTTTCCGTGGCAACCCGTTTGTTTCTCAACAAGAGCATCCAGCCAGGCTTCTGTGTATGAGTCACACCCCAAGTGTTTTGTTTGTTTCCCTGGGATAAAACTGATTCATAATGGCTCCTGTCGATGATGAAATAGTATTTCCTTGCTTAAACATAGAAGAAAAAAAAACTCTGTGTATAGTAAGTTCCCAGCCTACGTGAAAACTAATGTCTCAATGTGTGTACAAATCACTATCATTGTGTTTTCTTAGCTGACATAAAATCTGAAAGAAAATGTACAGCTGAGCCTTTTTAGATAAATGCTTTATTTTTTCTCAAAATGTTATTTCTCCTGAATATCCATAGTGCATAGAGCTTTATGAAATTGATCCAGTAATGAACAGATTCTGTTTTAACAATGATCCACTTTTACTAGTACTTCTTTAATTCTGAGAGGTTTGCCTTTTTGATCTTCCTGATTTTGGTTCTGAATTCTAGTCTTCTGTCATCATGAAATGTAGCTTTGAAAAGTAGGTCCCAACAATGCCACAATCTGAGATGACCTGTGCTCGCCATACTATAAGGGACAGCATTCAGCAATATTAGTACACCTGACCAAGGGAAAATGAGTGGCCTGGCCTGCAGAGAGAGGGTCCGAAGTCTGCAAGACAGGCAAGAGCACAAACGTCTGACAGATGAAGATCTGCCTGGAAAAAAGGACTGGTGCATTCCTCATGGGCCATGGTCTGAAAAATTTCCCAGTTGTTTCTAAAGAAAACTCATTTCCAAAAATGGGAAGAACCAAGTCTAGGTGCAGGAGGGTCTCTCCAGGGTAGTGTTCTGTAGCTCAAGGCATAGGGTACGGGAGCAAAAAGCTTCGAAGGCCCACCCTATCAAGTGGTTATGACGAAGTCTAGGCTCAGACCAGACCTGCAGCCCCACCTCAATCTGACCCTCTGTCTCTCAGATCCTTGTCTGCCCCACCCGATGCCTGTTTGCCTTCTCAGCGGAGATGCTGCCAGCTCTGGGCCTGGGCATCCCCTGCAGCACATGTGGGGCCCGCGGGGCAGAGCCTATCACGAGGCTGCCACTCATCATAGCCTCTCAAATGGGAACAGGTGGGAAGCTGCCGCCTTTTCCCTTCTGGTTTTCTTAGGGCACTTTGCCTTCTGCTCTTCCTTAGCCTCTCGGTTTTGGGGCCAGGAAGCAGCCAGGATCCTGGCCGTTTCTGCCTGAGAGCTGGTTCCTTCCTCTTCATCAGAAGAGAGTCCACCTTCTGCTGCAGGGGGAACTGCTGCCTCACTCTGAAGAGGTGAGGACAGTGGAGGGAAAACACAGGCCACAGGTCAGTGACTCAGCAGATATGAGGAAGCACCTACCTGAGACATTAACTCTCCCAGCAATGGCCTGCCTGGAGGTGTGTGGCTCTGGAAAAACAAGGACACTGCGTGGGGCTGGAGGAGATCCAAGGCCTGTCCTCTCGTGTCTTCCTTAGACTGGGGACTCACTCACCCAAGCAGGTATTGGTAACTTACAAACTGAGGGAATGCCAAGATGTCTAGGCAGGAAACTACCCTCCAGGAGTGTACAATCAAATCGAGGAGATCACTGTGCCCAGTGCTTTGAGGAGGCATTCCCTGGGCCGGCTGGGGCAGGGAGCTGAATGCAGAGGGTGAAAGGAACAGTCAGGCATGAAGCCAGGTGAAGGGGTCAATGAAGGAATTTGGGGAAGGAGCACGACAAGCATATTTTTTAAAAGCAAACAGGCACCATGTGGCATTGGAGAGGCGTGGTCACAGCTGCTTCCGGAACACATTTCTGCTGTCTCTGACCCCGTACCGATCACTCTGTGTGTGAGGCCTACGTGAAAAAATTCACGCCTGTGTCCACAGGCTGGCCTGCCAAATGGCAGGTGCTGTGAGAGTATTTCTGGTGTCAGGGATGATCGCAGGCACTGGGAACACCACAAGGCTAAGAATGGTGGGTCAAACACAGAAATACAGGAACCCATCTCTTCCTGTAGGGTTAGCGCCACATCAGGCACTCACTCACTCGTGGCAGACAGAGGCAGAAAAGCGGGTGTTGGGGCAGGGCCAGGGGCCAGAAGCGGCAGCTGAGGCTGACTCCAGGGACACCTCTGCCAACAAGTAAGGACACAGGGCCTGGGAGGGACAGGTCTGTGGCATTCAAAAATAAAGCTGATGGACCTACGGCGATGTCCAGGCAGAACGTGGGCCAGGATTGCTGAGTCGCCCCCTCCCCACCCCAGGCTGTCCTCTTTACAAAGGACGCACACTGACCTTGTCCCCATAGCGCAGCTTCAGCCTCTCCCTGATGAGCAGCCCTTTAACCAGCAGCTTCCAGTTCCCTACAGCCCGCTTCTCCCTTTTCTGCAGCAGAAACAGGTTAGGCATAAAATGTCCAGTACTGCCATTTTCAGGAAAAATATCAATATGGAACCTGTGTACATATGTATCTATATAAAGTATTTTAGGTTAAAAGAAAATTTAACTATACCAAGTCTGTTTTAAAATTTGAGTGACTTATAAGAGGCATGAAAGGCATCAAAGACAAAAGCCTCTTTGTAATTGTTTCCGACTCTAAAACTTCTAGGGGAAGAGGTTCTCCACACCTGGACCACAGGCAGTTCCTTTTAACAGAGGCAGGTGTCAGCAGTGGGGCAGCTGTCCCTGTAGCTGGGATCCAGACAGCTGACAAGCAATAGATGTAGGCAGACAGTGGGTTCTGAGGTGTAGGCAGGGCCATCTTATCCAGTGCTGGTGCCCTGTGGTGCCTTCCATGCAGTCAGGGAGCCAGAGCGAGCTTCGGAGTACATGGACTCTCTCCTTTTATAGCAGTTCCAAGTGAGGCACCTGTCTCCCCTGAGTGCCCACTTCCCCCAGCCACTCTGCTTCCCCACCTCAAGCCCCACCCAGGCCAGCCCTGGCCAGGCTGCTCACCTCCTTCTCCTTCTTTTCGATGAGTGCCTGCTCATTTTCCCAGGCGGCCAGGAGCACATCTTTGTATTCCTCGCAGACTACATACCCGTCAGTTCTGTGGGGAGGCAACATGGGTGGTCTTCTTCGAGCCTGATTCCTGCTCTGGCCTCTCTTCCTCCCATTGTGGAGGACAGTGGGCCGCACCTAAGCTCTGAAGGATTCCCTGTGTCAGCTGGTCCACAGTCCTGGACACAGCTGCTCACAGACACTGCTCATGCAGAAGGCAGGCCCGTGGACGCTGGCACTGCCTACGAACTGGGATGAGCCCCTCCCCACCCCCACCCCATGCAGGCAAAGGTCACTAACCAAGAATAATGCTGACCCTACTAGGTCACCTGTGACCACCCCCAGAAAACAGTGTTTTAGTCTAACATGATTAGATGCTGGCTTCACTGGTTTTTCTGCCTCTGAATGGAAGCCAGAGTAAAGGTGTCAAAAGTGTAAAAGGTAAAGTGTTAAGGTTCATTTTCCAAGTTCAGAGTAAAACCTGGAAAATGAGACACACTGGGCCTCAACTCCCACCAACCCCACATCAATTTCCCGCCCCCTTCACGGTCACCTCCCCGCCCCTCCTTCCAGCCTCCATGGAAGATGCTTCACGCACATGGGATGGGAGTAGCCCCTATGGAAATCGAAGCCAGTGATGGCCTGAGCACAGTCGATGCCCAGCTTACGAGCCACACGGTGCAGGTTGGGCAGATTCAGTTGGACACAGCCAACGGGCATCATGCTGGGCAGGAAGAGGTACACGTTCCCAAATTCATTCCGGGGGACCTGCAGAGGGTAGCATGCCAGGTCTGGCCAGCTGCAGAATAAAGCTGCCTGGTCCTGCCCCCACCGAGCGCTGCCCTTACCTTTCCACCCACGGCCACGGGTGGCTGGTACTCCTCTGTCTGCCACCTGCCGAACAGGCCCAGGTCATTTTGGTCCTGCAGCTGGGGCTCAGCAAGGCGGGCTCTCCGGGCCCGGTTGGAATAGCCTTTCACCATCTACACCAGAGGGAACAGCCAGTTTACAACAGAGGCTACCACGTCCTGAGTGCTGACTATACAGTATGGCAGGCACTGTGCTCAGTGCTCTGCACCTGTTACAAAACAAACAGCAGACAAACCCAAGATGGGGGCGCATTCTATTCCCTTTATGAATACTAGAGCTACTACCCCCAGCTAGTGCCCCGCTGTAGCTGATATCAACAGAGTGCTCCCTGTCCCAGGCTCGGTTTTCAGTCTTCTCCACATTTAGTATTTTGAGATTGCGGCTGACTGCAGGTAAATGAAAGAGCAGAAAGCAAAACAACAGACAAGGAGAGATTACGGTTCTTTGTTCTAAACTTTCATCACTGAAAGGGAAACTGACACTCGAAAATGATGTGACTTAAGATCTCATGGCCAGGTGAGCGATAGGGCCAGGGTTCCATTCCAGAAAACTAATTGTGCCATGTACCCTGGCAGTTTGAAATGCCGAGCACACCCCTACATCTGTCTGACGGCCAATGCCAAAATTCTCCCTGGGGAGTGAAGGGCAAAAGGGATGGAGGACTGGCGAGGAGGAGGTGGTGGAACCTCTACGTGGAGGCATGGCACAGGCGTGGGCTACGGACTGGCTCCTGGGCCTAAGCTGCCTCTGGCACAGGTGTTGGCAAACCCTTTCTGTAAAGGGTCACAGGGTCACATACAGCATATTCTTTATTTCTCTCTTTCTAAAATCCATTAAAAAATGGAAAAAGCATTCTGAGACTAAGGGCCCCATGAAAACAAGACCCAGGCTGGATGTGACCTGTGAGCTGTACACTTCTGGCCGCTGTTCTAGGGACCATTCCTGCCACGGTCTCTGGGCACACCACCTGTCACCACTGTGCGGCTCAGTCCCTTTCTAAGGGAGCCATCCATCCAGTGCTGTTCAGGAAAGACCCAATGTGCACCTACTACAGACCACACAATGACACCAGTCACAGGGGCAGTCTTTGTTTTTAAGGAGCGCCAAGAGAGACAAGATTACAAGTCAGAGTGAAGAGTAAAGGGCCCATCCCTTTACTCTTCAGAGGAGGATGTTCACCACCCTGAGAAGGGGGGTTAAGACTGACTGTTCAAGTGAAATGGGCTGTGGAGCGAGTGAGGTGTTTGGTGCTGTGCATATCAGGACAGCGGAAGCTCTGGCGCTCAGGAGGAAACGCGGGCAATGGAGCACCGCAGGTCCCGTGACACACGCAAGATGTGGGACTCTGGGTGGGGTGAGGTGGGCTACCCGGGAGGTGTCACATGCACTCTGTGTTTCAGAAAGATCCCATGATGGCCATACTGGATATGAACTGAAGGGCTGCAGGTGGCTGTAATCCAAACAAGAGAAGAAAAGCAGGAGTTGGGAGCTGTGACAGCAGGTTTCAGAACGAGAGGAAGACTTGAGATTGGGGTTTATACCATAACTGTGCTAACATGATAGCCATCAGACATCTGAGATGTGCCTAACAGCAAATGAGATGCACTCAAAGTAAAATACTAGATTTCAAAGCCTTAATAGAAGGAAAAATATGTAAAACATCTTAACATTCCAAAATATTACATGCTGAAATGACAATATTTCAAATATATTTGAAAAATGTTTAAATTATATTTTATTGATTATGCTATTATAGTTGTCCTGATTTTTCCTCCTCTGCCCCCCTCCACCCAGCACCCTCTACTCCCTGAGGAAATACGCTCACTATTGTTCATGTCCATGGGTCACATGTGTATGTTCTTTGGCTACTCCCTTTCCTGTGCTGCACTTTACATCCCCATGGCTCTTCTGTGACTACCTGATTGTACTTCTTAATCTCCTCACCTCTTTACCCATTCCCCCACAGCCCTCTCCCATCTGGCAACCATCAAAACACTCTCTGTATCCATGATTCTGTCTCTGTTCGTGTTTGCTTAGTTTGTGTTTTAGATTCAACTGCTGAGAGACATGTATTTATTGCCATTTTATTGTTCACAGTTTTGATCTTCCTCTTTTTCTTAAGTCCCTTTAACATTTCACATAATAATGGTTTGGTGATGATAAACTCCTTTAGTTTTTTGTCTAGGAAGCTCTTTATCTACCCTTCTATTCTAAATGATAGCTTTGCTAGGTAGAGCAATCTTGGCTGTAGGTCCTGGTTTGCATTATTTCTTGCCAATCCCTTCTAGCCTGAAAAGCTTCTTTTGAGAAATCAGCTGACAGTCTTATGGGAACTCCCCTGTAGGTAACTGCTTTTTCTCTTGCTGCTTTTAAGATCCTCTCTTTAACCTTCGGCATTTTAATTATGTGTCTTGGAGTGGGCCTCTTTGCATCCATCATAATTAGGACTCTCTGTGCTTCCTGAACTTACATGCCTACTTCCTTCACCAAATTAGGAAAATTCTTTCACTAGATTTTGAAGTTTTTTTCAAATAGATTTCCAATTTCTTGCTCTTTCTCTTCTCTTCCTGGCACCCCTCTAATGTAAATGTTGTACCTCTTAAAGTTATCCCAAAGGCTGCTTATACTATCCTCCTGTTTTTTGGATTCTTTTTTATTCTGGTTCTGATTCATTGTTTTTTGGTTCCTTATGTTTCAAATCATTGACTTGATTCTCAGCTTCATCCACTCTATAGTCGTTTCCCTGTAAATTGTTATTTTAATTAGTGAATCCTTTGTTTCTCACTGGATCTTTTTTATGCTGCTGAGGTCCTCACTAAGTTCCTTGAGCATCCTTATAACCAATGTTTTGAACTCTACATCTCATAGTTGCTTACCTCCATTTCATTTAGCTCTTTTTCTGGAGTTTTGAGCTGTCCTTTCATTTTGGTCATGTTTCTTTGTCTCCACATTTTGGCAGCCTCCCTGTGTTTGTTTCTATGTATTAGGTAGATCTGCTGTGACTGTGTCTTGGTAGTGTGGCCTAATGTAATAGGTGTCCTGTAGAGTCCAAGGACACAGCCTTCCCTATCACCCAGGCTGGGTACTCGAGGTGTGCCCTTTGTGTGGGCCGAGTACTCCCCCATCTTGTAGTTGAGCTTTGGTTGCTGCTGGCAGGTTAATGGGAGGGATTTGCCCAGGCCAGTCAGCTGTAAGGGCTATCTGTGACCATTGACCACCAAACTCTGCCCTCCATGGAGGGTCAGCTGTGTAGGGGCAGGGTGGTCGTGGTCTGATGTGGTCTGCAGCTGTCCCCTGGGTACACTGGCCCTGGGGTTTCTCATGTGGTGCAGACCAAGGTCAGCCTCCACCTGTGTTTTGCCTGGGGCACCCTGCCTTAGTTATAAAGCAATCTGAGATGGCTGCTACTTGTGCTTGGCTTGGAAATTCCCAGGGGAAGCCAAGCTGTGAATCTAGGCTGGCTGCTGCTAGTGCGGGGCCTGGGGCTCACTGAGGACAGCTGTTGCTTGTTTGATAGGATTTAGGAAGTTGTGAAGCATGAGCCAAGACCAACCATTCATATGGACAAGCAGTCTGGGTGGGGCAGAGTCTCTAGGGATCTACAAGGTGGGTCAAACAGTGTTAGCCAGGTTGATGGAGTCTCAGATATGGCACCAGTTTACTAACTCTGTGGGGTGTTTAGGAAAGGGACACTGGCCTCTGTTTGCCTCGATGCCACACACTTCAGTTTCTCCCTGTATGCCCCTGGTGCCTTTCAAGCTGCTACCCTGATAATAGAGCTCAGACGGCATGAGTCTGAGCAGGTGAGTACACATGTCTGGGTTCTTGAAGAGGTACTGCTTGAGGCTTCAGAAATTTCTTCCACTCACTCAGTCCCCACTGATTTTTGTAGCCATAAGTCTTGGGGACTTATATTCTTGGCACTGGAACCTGGGCCTGGTGTGAGGCTGGGACTCCTCACTCCCGAGACATCCCTCCTGAATTTTTATCCACCACACGTGGGCATGGGATCAGCCCATTCTGCATCTGCGCCCCTCCTGCCAGTCTGGATGGGTGTGGTTTCTTTAATTCTGCAGTTGTCAGACTTCTACTAGATTTCTGACAGTTCTGAGTGAGGTTGTTCAATATTTTAGTTGTAATTTTGATCTATTTGAAAATATGTAAGCATATTAAAATTCTGTTTCTATTTTTAAGATTTTAATGTGGCTAGTAAAAAATTTAAATTTGTATTTCAATCGGACAGTGCCACTCCGGGATGAAGAGACTGGTTATTGATGAGGAGGATAGAAGAAAGGAGAAGGTCTGTGGGAAACCCCAGCGGTCCTCCAGGTCCAAGCAGGCAGCACAAAGCGCCCACGCCTGCTTCTGGCGTGATCCGCGCCCAATGCCTGCAGCCCCTGCCCACCCAACTGAGGCCTCTCTACTCCCCGTCCCGGAGCCTTACCACCCAAAGGACTCCTTTTGGGGTCTGATAAAAAAGAACAAATGTGTCTCTGTGACCGGCCACTGTCCTCCCCTGGTTAAACAGGGCTGGGTGTCCCGGGATAAGCTGTTGTGGTACTGTACTGAATCATGTCCTGTGGGCAGCTGACCTGACTTAGCGCAGCGGTACAGTGGGAGAGAACTAACACTGGAGCAGAGGCAGGGCCTGGGACTGTGTATTCCTATCCTGGCCCCAACCCCCTCACAGTAAGAGTCCCTCTGCAGCCTGCAGGGGGAGAGGTAAAAGTCACAGCAGTGCAGACACAGATCCTTACCACTGAGCACTGGGTGTTGCCAGTCCCCTAACTGTGAGACCTTGGACAAGTGATTTCCACTTTCTGAGTTCCCGTGTTCTCATATGTAAAATAGGCATCATAATGCTAACTCTATGGCTGTTGAGACTCGGTAGAGAATGTATACGTGCAAAATGCATGGTAAGTTACCAAGTGGAATGATGTCAATGACTGGTGACTGTGTCCACAAAGAGCAGGGCTGCGGCCTCTTAAAACAACTCAGTGACACAGCTCCTACCTACACAGCGCTTAAGTACACACCAGGAATCTGAGGGTTGCTTTTTGACTGATTTCTGGCATGCTCTGGAATACCCATTTCTTACAAATTCCTTATTAAAGTAAGACATTTATATGCATTCCTTCTCCTTTAATCCTTCTCAAGCTAGACAAGGCAGACCTGGATTCCTATCCTGGGCACATATTCAGCAATCCTTAGTCCCCTCTCCTCTTCCCTGAGCTGTTCGACTAGGCCTTGGTCCCGAGCCTCCCCACTGCCCTCAGGGTGCCCCTTCCGCCCCCTACCCCCAGCTCTAGTTACCTTGTAGGGCACTTCTCCAAGCCTCACCACTCTTCCTTGTTTCAGCCATGTGTCCCTGGAGTGCAGGACATGCACACAATCCCTACCAAAGCCAACAGAGGGAGACAAAGGACAAACTCAGTTCACACCCTGCCTAATGGAGCACAGTATGGGGAGGAATCCCAAGCACCCGGGTGCTCATATGACCTCCCAGAAGGAAGAGCACAGCCTGGGATATTCTTCTGAGGCTCTGCCTCACACCCTGGAGCAGGCTCTGCTCCTCAGGGAACCAGGGGACCTGCCTCAGACAGACAGTTAACTTGGGACTTCCTGTCTTTGCAGGTGTGAGTACACTTAGAAACCCTGACCTAAATGGAGTTACTGTGTCTGTCTTGGGCTTCATGCCATACTCTCACCCCCAACCCCCTCACAGTAAGAGTCCCTCTGCAGCCTGCAGGGGGAGAGGTAAAAGTCACAGCAGTGCAGACACAGATCCTTACCACTGAGCAAGTGTCTGCCCAGGTGTGGTCTGCTGCTAAATACCGTGGAGTGTCCAGAGAAGGAGTGTGAACCCAAAAGACTATACACAAATTATAATTACATTAGTAAATTATCATGGAACTAAGGTTCATGTCCATGGAACGGTCAAGTAATTCCTGGCACCCTGTGATTATTGGGAAAGATTCTCTAGCTTCACTGTCCTTCCACAGCTAAGAGATATGCCCCAGCCTTGCAATTCTACTTGCACGCCCATCTCTTCTTTAGGTTGTAGCCCTGAACTCTCTCTGCCCAGAGAGCAGGGCTCCATGGAGCACGGGCACTAAATTTCCTGCTAGTGCAGAAATCAGGCCCTTCACCTACCTGCTAGTCTGAGGCTGATGTTCAGCATAATACCACAGCCCTGAGTGAACCACCTCTGTGCCACCTCCTAGTGGGGTGACCATGGACAAGTCACTTTCCCTTCTGAAGCCTCAGAACCCTCCTCTACACTCAGGGATAATGAGCTCTGTCCTGCTGCCTCACAAGGTTGCTGGGAGGACCAGACTCTTTCCAGGTGCTAGAGCAGCACTTCTCTGCCCACAGCCTCACTGTCCAAGCTGAGCACCCTAGCCACGCTCTCACTGCAGACTGCACACCTGATCACCCAAACCAGTAATTACATCATGGGCATCAGGGAGGAGTGGACATCTCCCAGGAAAGCAGCAGGCAAGTGGACATACACCTCTCATAGTAAATCTCCACCTCTAATCACTTCATACCCATTAGGATGGCTATTACCAGAAAAAGAGAAAGCAAGTGTTGGTTACAGATATGGAGAAACGGAAACCCTTGTGCTCTGCTGGTAGAATTATAAAGTGGGCAGCAGTACATCAGTTCTACAAAACGTAAAATGCAGAATTACCTATGATCCAGCAATTCCACTTCTGGGGCATATACCCCAAAGAACTGGAAGCAGGGTCTCCAAGAGATAATATACTCCTGTGTTCATAGCAGCGTTACTCGCGATGGCCAAAAAGAAAAGGCAGTACCAGTGTCCACCCATGGACGCTAATCACATAATGACAAACACTGTGTGGGTGCACTTACATGAGGTCTCTAGAGCAGCCAAATTCACAGAGACAGAGAGAGGGATGGTGGTTGCCAGGGGGTGGGGGGAGGGAATTTTGGAGAGTTAGTGATTAATGGGCACAGAGTTTCACTTGGGAAGATGAAGTTCTGGAGATGGGTGGTGGCGATGGTTGCCCAACAGTGCCAGTGTACTTAATGCCACCGAACTGTACACATAAAATAGTTAAATGGTAAATTTTGTTACACGTTTTACTACATTCAAAAATGTTCACTTCTAATGCTTCCCCCTGTGACTGACCTGATTCCTGTGAACCACCCTGGCATTCTCTTCCCACCAGACTTCCTGGCTCCCACCCACCTGAGGAAGCCTGTGCCTTTTCCTCTATCAAGGCGGCCTGGGCTCTGGAGGTTTTGACTGTGGGCCACTGAGGCCCCTGACCGGCGTGATGCTTTCTGATGTGGACCAGAAAGCGCCCACAGAGACCCTGGACAGGGCACCTAGCCTGAGTCCTGCAGGACTGACATATAGAAAGTAGTCCCGGGTCACAGGACTCAAACCATCTATTCATGGGGACTTTCCTCTATTTGCTTTTTTTCCTCCTTCTTTTCCCATTTTTTAAGAACATCTATTTTTTCATCTTGTATTCCAATGTTTTTAAAAAAGATCAGTTTTGTTTCTACTGCTATTTAAAAAATTTTCATTTTATTTTTAGAGAGAAAGGAAGGGATGGGGAAAGAGAGAAATATCAATGTGTAGTTGCCTCTCATGTGTCCCCCAGTGGGGACCTGGCCTGCAACCCAGGAACATGGCCTCACTGGGAATCGAACCAGCGACCCTTTGGTTCGCAGGTTAACACTCAATCTACTGAGCCACACCAGCCAGAGTTCTACTGCTATTTCTTAAAAGTTCTGCTTCTACTTTTATTTTTTCCTCACCTTCAATTTATATTACGAATTTTTCAGTTTTAATTTTATACATATTTTATATTCATTTTCTACTTTTACTTCCTTCACTCCTTCTTTGGTAATTACTTTTTACTTTGGGTAAAATATACACAACATAAAATGTATCATCATAATTATTTTTAAGCTCGGTGGCACTGGGGACACTCACTTTGTTGTGTGACCATCCCCACCATCCATCTCCAGAACTTTCTCATTTTCCCAAACAGAAGCTATACATACATTAAAATATCAAATAACTTTAACGTTCATCAAATCCTTTCTTCTTTCCTTTTGTATGTTTTTAGCTTGTATTTGAGGGGTGTGCTTACATTGTCCTATGTAAACCTTGTTTGTCCACTTTTTATACTTCCCCTACAACACCCCCGCCCCACTTATCTTTTAATCCTTGTTGTTTTAATTTCCAAGCTTTACTCTCCTCTACACATCACCCCGCACAACAGCACACATACACACAACAAAGCTCATTCCATATGACAAATGGGATGAATGCCATTATCAGCCCTTTGCCCCAGAAGGCGGCTGATAGTCCCAGGCCATCACGAAGCCCGCCAGGCCACTGCACGCACCTGGAGTAGACAGCTTCCCCACGACAATATCCAATGATCGAGGCTGTCTCAGGATAGATGGCCTCGTATTTCAGGAGATGCCTCCTCAGGGCATATAGAGGGTGGTTCTTATATGTGCCAATGACACAGGGCAAAGGCTGGTCCAGGTGCTTTGCCTGAAACTGGAAAGGCCAGAGAGACAATGTTGAGCATGTGTTTTATAAGAGGAAGTGAGGTTTGAAGTGGGCAATCCTCAGACCAACTTGTTCAGAGAAGAGACAGCAGAGCAGAGGTTTCTTAAGCACCCAAAACTGTAACACTGTCCCGGCTGGTGTGGTTCAGTGGACTGAGTGTTGGCCTGCAAACCAAAGGGTTTGATTCTCAGTCAGGGCACATGCCTGGGTTGTGGGCCAGGCCCCCAGTAGTAGGGTGCGAGAGGCAACCACACACTTTCTGTCTTTTTCTCCCTTCCTTCCTCTTTCTCTAAAAAATTAATGCCCACCCCCCAAAAAAAACAAACCCAAAACCAACCCCAACCAAACAAAAAAAACACCCCTGTAACACTGTCTTTGTAGCTCTGGTGTTAAGTAGGTTTTAGATAAATCAAAGCTAAGAAAAATCAAGTATTTCTGTGGCTCACAGCAACTTTGCAAACTCATCTAACCTATTCCTTAGCCAGCCTTAGCAGATGAATTTCCACCCTTTTAAGGAGCTTCACAGAAAAAAAAACAGTTTTCTTCAGGAAAGAGGCCTTATCTCAAAGTGACATCACTATTCTGCAATGTGGGTTTCCCTGACAACTCTCACAGGACAGCAAAATGATGTTCACACTCTGTGACTGTTTTGAGTTTCCTCTGATACATATTCTCTTAGCACTTCTTTGAGGAATCTGATCTTCCAGTGGACAATTCCACGGCTGTAATTCACATCCTACTCACCAAGGTCTCCTACCCTGCCCCTTAGCAGCTCTTGAAAACCCTCCAATGCATCAGTGAGGACCTGCAATGTGGCACAGCCAGGAGTAGGCCAGACCCTCCCTGGGGTTGGCTCCCAGGACAAAGACTTTATTTAATTAGGCTGGTCACAATGCCATCTGCACAAGTCCCATTTCTTCGGCCATTTTTCAGTAACACGAACTGGGAACAGCCCCAGAGGAAACTCTCAGTGCAGGCTGAACCGCACTGTTACAGAAAATGCTAAATAAACCCACGCTCCACCCATTCTGAGGGACTGGGCATAATTCTTTGGCAAATCTGGGCATATTCCCATGTGGAGATGCTAAGCACCACCAACACCACAACTGCCGTGCACAAGCAGCCCAGGCCCTCCTCCTGAAACCAAGTGACAACACTGTTCTGTTTCAGCTTAGGAGCCAGCTTCCCAGTGGGCCCCCTCCATAGACGGAAGGTACGCCTCATTCTCAGTCCCTCCCTTCCCAGGAGATGAGTGTTCTACATCCGGGGAGGGCTGTCTGTGTATGTGCTTGTGTGAGTGCACACAGCCAGAAAAGAGGACGGGGGAGGGGAATGATCATATTAATGAGTTCTTTCTTCTTTCACTCAGCATGACTTACATGACTTCATAAATATTTTAAAGCTCTAAATTTATAACTGGGCGATAACCAGAAGTATACAATCTTAAAAAAACCAGACAGATCTGGGTTTAAATACCAAGTCAGTTAATGTCTTGGATCCTAAATTCTTAACTGGTAAAATTAAGGCAATAATAATCCCAGCTTTACAGTGTTAATAATAACTAATGAGATAAACACTAAAAATACCAAACACAGGCTGGGCATACATACAGTGCTCAAATATGGAAATAATTTTAACAATTCAATGGGTCTTTGAGCCCATGGCAGCCGAGGCCTTACCTCCAAGTCTTCTTTCTTTTCCCTTTCCACCAGTGGGCTCTGGTAGGGTCTCAAGGTTTCAGCCCACCACTTGGCATCAACTCGGCACTTGCGGGTCACTGTCATCCAGACTGGGTCATACCTCTGGGTGACATCCCGGACCCAGCCATCATTGTCAATGCCCACAACGTAGGTCATGGGCTTGGTGGCATACTTGTGACATGTCAGAGCCTGGCCTACCACACCATGCACACAGTCCACACACACCCACTTTTCCTCCTGCTCACAGAACACCTCTAGCCACTGGTCCACACCAGCTGCTTTTCCTCTTTCTGTCCCCTCACCATCGCTGGACATTTTCTTGCTTCTCTTACTCTTAGTGCTCGAAGAGTTTGTAGATGCTGCTGGAAAGCCAGGGTGCTTATGTTGGCTTCCATGTTGGGTCCTGGATTTACTTTTTGATCCTGCCTTTGTCCCTTGGGAGGCTGGAGCCCTCCTCTGCTTTGAAGGACCAGGCTCAGAATCCTCATCAGATGGATGATGAGTTTCCCCACTGGAGAGCTCAAAGTCAGAGGCACTGCTGGCCTTGTTACTCCCACTCTCCTCCTCTTTATAAGACACCCTGGAGGCCACCCGCAGCTTCCGGCCACGAACGTGTCTCTGGGTCTCCTCCTCCTGCTCTTCCGCCTGGTCCTCCTCTTCCCCACCGGAGGAGGACTCTCTCCGATTCTTCCTGATGGCAGCTGCCATGCTCCTCTTCCCTTTGGCACTTGGACTGCTAGTGTCCTTAGAAGAAGTGTTCTTTTTTCTGGTTCCTCTGCTGTTCTTCGGTTTGGTCTGGTTTTCTGAAACTAGGCTGGACGTTTCTGAGGAGCCTCCAGGACCCTCTGTGGATCTCTCTTTAGGTTTCTTTCCCTTAAACAGAACAGAAATTTTGCTTTTTCTTTTTTGCTAATGATAGGCTAGAGACCCTGTAACCTAACAGGCCTGAGTCACTGGCTAGAGAACCAGTGGACACAAGCTGTCCCCAGCTCAGACAGAGATCAACTGGCTATCCTTCTGGGTCACAGGAAAATATCTGCTAAAATCTACAGCACCTTTAATAAGGTCACAATATAAGTCTCTTTACTCTCAAGTGTGGCACGAGGAAAAGCACAGGATGTGGAAACAGACAAACCTGGGTTTAAAGTTGTTTCTCTGGCCAAGATGGAGGTGTAGGTAGACACACTATGCCTCCCTGCACAACCAAAATAAGGTCAGCAACAATTTAGAAACAAGATAACAACCAGATCTGACAGAAAATTTAACTGTATGGAAGTTGGACAACCAAGGAGTTAAAATATACACATTCACCCAGGCCGGTAGGAGGGGCGGAGTCAGGAGGGGCAGTTGGGCAGCCGGGCAGAGAGGGGTCATGGCACAAAAAGTGGTGGCACTGGGTGCGTAAGGCATCCCGGGCGCAAGACGGAAGTGGGCCAGGGGGCTGGCAGACCCAGTGAGGCAGCGACTGTAAAGTGAGGCACTGCACACAAGGCGCCTGGCTGTCTGGGCCACATTCGCGTGCAGATAAACCAGGCGAAATTGGGCAGTGAGACAGACTGCGCAACCCAGGGTCCCAGCACTGGGAAATAGAACCTCGGGACATTGATTGAAAACACCTGTGGGGGTTGATGTGCCAGGAGAGACTCACAGCATCACAGGAGAGTTTGCTGGAGAGACCCATGGGGTCCTAGAATGTACACAAGCCCATCCACACGGGAATCAGCACCAGAAAGGCCCCAGTTAGCTTGGGGGAAGCAGCGGAAGGGACTGAAATCCAATGGAGAGAGGAGCAAACGCCATAGTTTCCTCTCAGACCCCACACCACATACAACATCACACCACAGCGACTGGGTTGCCCTGCCCTGGAGAATACCTAAGACTCCGCCCCTCAGTACATAACAGGCAAGACCAGACCCCCCCGCCCCCTGCAAAAAAGGCTCAAACGGAAGTACAAATCAAAGCGCCAAAGCCAATACTTTTAAGTGACTAAGAGATAGCCAACCTATCAGATGCACAGTTCAAAGCACTGATGATCAGGATGCTCACAGAATTGAATTTGGTCGCAAATTAGATGAAAAAATGAAGGCTACGATAAGAGAAATGAAGGAAAATGCACAGGGAACCAATAGTGATGGAAAGGAAACTGGGACTCAAATCAATCGAGTGGACCAGAAGGAAGAAACAACCAATCAGAAAAGAATAAAGAAACAAGAATTCAAAAAAATGAGGAGAGGCTTAGAAACCTCCAGGACATCATTAAACATTCCAACATCCAAATTATAGGGGTACCAGAAGGAGAAGAGGAAGAGGAACAAATGGAAAAATTATTTGAACAAATAATAAAGGAGAACTTCCCCAATCTGGCAAAGGAAATAGACTTCCAGGAAGTCTAGGAAGCTCAGAGAGTCCCAAAGAAGTTGGACCAAAGGAGGAACACACCAAGGCACATCATAATTATATTTAGCCAAGATAAAAATGAAAGAGAATCCTAGAAACAGCAAGAGATAAGGAGACAGTAACCTACAAAGGAGTTCCCATCAGACTGTCAGCTGATTTCTCAAAAGAGACCTTGCAGGCAAGAAGGGGCTGAAAGGAAGTATTCCAAGTCATGAAAGGCAAGGACTTACATCCAAGATTATTCTATCCAGCAAAGCTATCATTTAGAATGGAAGGGCAGATAAAGTTCTTCTCAGATAAGGTCAAATTAAAGGAGATCATCATCACCAAGCCCTTATTTTATGAAATGTTAAAGGGACTTATCTAAGAAAAAGAAGATAAAAAATATGTATAGTAAAATGACAGCAAACTTACAGTTATTAACAACCACACCTGAAACAAAAACAAAAACAAACTAAGCAATCAACTAGAACAGGAACAGAACCACAGAAATGGAGATCACATGGGAGGTTAGCAACAGGGGAGTGGGGGAGGAGAAGAGAGGGGGAAAAGGTACAGAGAATAAGTAGCATAGATGGTAGGTAGAAAATAGACAGGGGGAGGGTAAGAAGAGTATGGGAAATGTGGAAGCCACAGAACTTACAAGTTTGACACATGGACATGAACTAAGGGGGTGAATGTGTGTGGGAGGGGGTGTGCAGGGTGGAGGGGAGTGAAGGGGGAAAATGGGATAATTGTAATAGCATAATCAATAAAATATATTAAAAAATAAATAAAGTTGTTTCTCATGTTACATGAATTAGGTAAATTATGTCACCTCTGAGCCTCAACTTCCTCAGCAACAATACTATTCACCTTGCACTTAATGCATTTTGCAAACAAATATCGATGGACTTTAATAAATTATGGTATTAATATAGAAATTATTAAAATCAATTTTTGGACCATCAAATTTCAGACAATGCCAACACCCCAGTAAGTACAGTGTTCAGCCTCCTTCTTTGAAGACTACAGAATTCAGTGCGGGCTGGGAACCAAAGTGTCCCAGGTTCGATTCCCAGCCAGGGTACACTCCTGGGTTGCAGGCCATAACCCCCAGCAACCGCACATTGATGTTTCTCCCTCTCCCTCTCCCTTCCCTCCCTAAAAATAAAATAAATAAATAAAATCTTAAAAAAAAAGACTACAGAATTCAAAGCCCTTCATCTATCATCGGCCACACTGCTGGTGAGGACAGGCACCATCCCACTGTTTTCCAGGACAGAAACTACAGCACTGAGGAGCCAAGACCTCCTACAGGCCCTTTTGCACATGCAGAGATCAGGCTGCTAGAATATCCACTCATGTGTCCAATCTGCCAACACAGGGTATGTGCAAGGCAGGTGCAAAGGAACCCATGCTCTATTTTATACTGACCTTTAAAAACAGTCTAATGAACAATTTTTTTAAAAGTCTGATAACTTCTCACTTCTCCCTGACCAACTACCCTTTTCTCTGGAAGCCCCAAGAACCTCACCTTGGCTGCTGATAACTTCAGAGGAATTGGCTGGAGAGATAATACCAGTCGGGTTGGAAGCTGTAGGGCCCGGAGAATCAGTAACAGTATCTATAGTGAAAAAGAATTACATATTTATTCCCAGAGAAGGATTAAGGGTTTAATTAAATGTTGCTTATTGTGGTGCTTATTTATAACAGGGAAAAGTTAGAATCAACCAAGCTGTCTAAAAATAGGAGTCTGGAACCCTTGACACTATTAAAAATGATGCAGAAGAGATCTAGCTTTGTAGAAAAATGGGAAAATGTTCACCATCTATTGAAGAAAAAGAAAAGTTTGTTTTTAAAGTGCAATGTTAATTTTTTAAGAAAAAAATTGTATAAACATATATGTGTATTTGTAAAAGGACCCATATATTGGGTTATGGCTGTTTATATGTGGTGTTTTTTCTGCTAACTTTCTGTACTCAACATATGTTATGTCTGTGATTAAAATAATAAAATACCACTTTGGGAAAAAAAATATAAAACACCATTACCATCAGATGACCAAAGTTTACTTCTTATATTACATTTTCCCCACAATGAATCTTTCAACTAGAGGCTATGTTTCCTTTTTTTTTTTTTAAGATCTTTTTCATATATACTTTATTATTTTTAAAAAAAGATTTTATGTATTTACTTTTAGAAAGAAAGGAAGGGAGGGAGAAAGAGAGGGAAACATCAATGTGTGGTTGCCTCTCACGTGCCCTCCCACTGGGGACCTGCCCAGAACCCAGGCATGTGCCCTGACTGGGAATCAAACTGGTGACCCTTTGGTTTGCAGGCTGGTGTTCAATCTACTGAGCCACACCAGCCAGAGATAGAGGATGCATTTCTAAACGTTCTGCTAACTTCTAAGGATGGGAGGTTCCTCCAGGGAATTAACCTCCAACACAGCAACAGTGATAAAACACCTGAACAAGATCTTCCTACACAGACCTCAGGCTCCCAACATTTCTCAGGCCTACTGAGAAAGCCAAAGGTGAAAAGGAAAAATAAGAAGGCAGGTTTTCTATGAAAAGCCACATTATATTGAAAAAAATAATTGCCCTGACTGGCATGGCTCGGTGGGTTGGGTGCTGTCCTGAAAAGCAAAAGGTCACTGGTTCGATCCTTGGTCTGGGCACACGCCTGGGTTGCAGGCCAGGTCACTGTTGGGGTGTGCGAGAGGCAACGGATCAGTGCTTCCCTCCCTTCCCTTCTCTCTAAAAATAAATAAATAGGATCTTAAAAAAAAAAAAAGAAAAAATTACTTTTGCCTTGCTTTTTCTGGAGGTAAGAATGGAGAAAACATCAAAGAAACCCAAACTGAGAGACAAGCTACAACACTCCTAAGCAGCACTCTTCAAGCCATCAAGGTAAGGGGGGACAAGGGAAGACTGAGAAACTGACAGAGTGGATGAGACTAAGGAGACGTGATGATTAAATGCCATGCAACACCTTGGGTTAGACCTTGGGACAGAAAGAGGGCATTAGTGAAAAACCTTGAAAAATCCAAATAATAGCTACAGTTCAGTTGACAACATACAATCAATTAGTTGGTATAATTATTATTGTACCAATAATAGTTTGTGTACAGCATGGCATAGAAGCACATATGTAAAAGTCTGGATAACTGAGTACTCACCTAGATTTAACTAAGTATTCACTGGAGCATTCAACTAGCTGAGTGACTTCTCTAAACCTAGATTTCTTCATTTGTAATAACCCCTGCCGTGTCTTCCTCACAGGATTACAAATAAGATCATGTATAAGATACCACTCTAGAAGGAATCCAGCGCTACACAAATATGCATGGTCATCACCTTTAATAAGTAATCTGTCAGTGTACATTGGTGCCAAGAGAAAAAAAATTAAGATGCAAAGGCATTCAATTCCTATACAGAAAATAAGATAAATGGATGAAATGGACAAATCCTAAAGATACTGAAATGACCAAAAATAACTCAAGAAAAAACAGAAAATCTGAATATACCTTTAACAAGAAATTGGGACAGAAATAAAAAAAGCTCCCCATCAAAAAAAGTCTAGGACCAGGAGAGTTCTACCAAATATTTAAAGAAGAATTAACAAGAATCCTTCTCAAACTCCTCCAAAAAATAGAAGAGGGAACACTTCCTAACTCATTCTGTGAGGCCAGCATTACCCTGACATGAAAGCCAGATATCACAAGAAAACTACAGACCAATATCTTTTATGAATACAGATGCTAAAATCCTCAACAAAATACTTAGCAAACCAAATCTAGTAACACATTAAAAATTGGATTTCCAGCCAAGATGGAGGTGTAGGTAGACACACTGTGCCTCCTCACACAACCAAAAGAAGGACAACAATTTAAAAACAAAAACAACCGGAACTGACAGAAAATTGAACTGCATGGAAGTCCAACAACCAAGGAGTTAAAGAAGAAACATTCATCTAGACCAGTAGGAGGGGCGGAGACGGGCAGCCAGGCAAGGGGACTCTAGGCAAGGTGGTGGCTGGAGGGCCAAGGAGGGCAACGCTGCAGCTGGAGGACCTGGCAAAGCAGCGGCTGGTGGAGTGGGTGGTCCCACATTCATGTGCAGATAAACTGGGAGGAAGAACTGGGGAGCAAAACAGACCGAAGCAACCCAAAAGTTCAGTGCAGAGAAATAAAGCCTCAAACCGCTGATGGAAAACACCTGGGGGGGTTGAGGCGGCAGTGGGAGAGACTCCCAGCCTCACAGGCGAGTTCATTGGAGAGACCCACAGGGTCCTAGAACATACACAAGCCAACCCACTGGGGAATCAGCACCAGAAGGGCCCAATCTGCTTGTGGGTAGTGACTGAAAACTGGCAGAGAGCACAGCAAGTGCCATTGTTCCCTCTAGGACCCCTTCCCCACATACAGTGATGTGGGTTGCCCTGCCCTGGTGAACACCTAAGGCTCCTCCTATTATTGCTGAGACAAAAAAAAAATGGCCCAAATGAAAGAACAGATCAAAGTACCATAAAAAATACAACTAAGCAATGAAGAGATAGTCAAACTATCAAATGCACAGTTCAAAACACTGGTAGCAGTATGCTCACAGAATTAGTTGAATATGGTGGCAAATTAGATGAAAAAATGAAGGCGAGGCTAAGTGAAATAAAGGATAATGTACAGGGAACCAACCGTGACAGGAAGGAAACTGGGACTCAAATCAATGGAATGGACCAGAAGGAAGAAAGAAACAACCAATCAGAAAAGAATGATGAAACAAGAATTCAAAAAAATGAGGAGAGGCTTAGGAACCTCCAGGACATCTCTAAACATTCCAACATCCAAATCATAGGGGTATCAGAAGGAGAAGAACAAGAGCAAGAAATTGAAAACTTATTTGAACAAATAATGAAGGAGAACTTCCCCAATCTGGCAAAGGAAATAGACTTCCAGGAAGTCCAGGAAGCTCAGAGTCCCAAAGAAGTTGGACCCAAGGAGGAACACACTGAGGCACACACCAAGGCACATCATAATTATATTAGCCAAGATTAAAGATAAGGAGAAAATCTTAAAAGCAGCAAGAAAAAAGTAGACAGTTACCTACAAAAGACTTCCCATAAGGTTATCAGCTGATTTCTCAAAAGAGACCTTACAGGCCAGAAGGGGCTGGAAAGAAGTATTCCAAGTCATGAAAGGCAAGGACCTATATCCAAGACTGCTCTAACCAGCAAAGCTTTCATTTAGAATGGAAGGACAGTTAAAGTGCTTCTCAGATAAGGTCAAGTTAAAGGAGTTCATCATCACCAAGTCCTGATTATATGAAATGTTAAAGGGACTTATCTAAGAAAAAGAAGATTAAAACTATGAACCGTAAAATGACAACAAACTCAGTTATTAACAACCACACCTAAAACAAGAACAAAAACAAACTAAGCAAACTAGAACAGGAACAGAATCACAGAAATGGAAATCAGATGGAAGGTTATCAGCAGGGGAGGGCAGAGAGGAAGAGTGGGGGGAGAAGGAACAGAGAATAAGTAGCATAGATGGTAGGTAGAAAACAGGCAGGGGAAGATTAAAATTAGTGTAGGAAATGTAGAAGCCAAAGAACTTACATGTATGACCCATGGACATGAACTAAAGGGGGGAATGTGGGTGGGAGGGAGGGTGAAGGGTGGAGGGGAATAAAGGGGGGGAGGGGAATGGGACAACTATAATAGCATAATCAATAAAATATATTTTAAAAATTTATTGATGTTTGCATGTTGACCTAGTAGTACACCATGACCTTGATGAACTTACGTATTTCTAAGAGAAGTACAAAAGAAGTACATAAGAAGAACTTACGTAGTTCTAAGAGATTTTCGGGGTTTTTTTCTGTAGATGTCTTGAGATTTTCTATGTATACAACAATGTCATCTGAAAGTAGAGGCAGTTTTTCTTTCTTTCTTTCTGATTAACATGTCTTTTATTTCTTTTTCTTGGCTTATGATACTGCTTAAAAATTCCAGGACTATTTGGAATAAGAGCAATTACAGCAGATATCTTTGTCTTATTTCTGATCTTAGGAAGAAATTATTTAGTATTTCACTATTAAATATAATCTTAGTTGTAGGTTCTTATTAGGTACTCTTCATTAAGTTAAGTTAGTTATCCTCCAACCCTCAATTACAACATACATGTTTTTTCTTTCATGAATGGGTATTGGGTTTTATCAAATGCTTGTTTTATTTCAATTAATATGGTCATACAATTATTTTTCTTTAGTCTATTGATATAGTGGATTATATCAAGTAAATTTGAATGTTGACATATATGGAATAAAGTCTACCTGTATTTAATTTCCTTTTTTAAATATGCCATTTTATATCCAGTTTTGTTCTGATTCAAAAGGTTTCAAAAATATACGGTTGTATTCTGTTTTGAGTATTTCTTATTCAATAAAATTATACTGGTATTCTGTGTTTTATAATTTAGTGTGCTCTTTAGATTTAATATATATTTTAGAATAAGTATTTGGTTTACATTGCAAAAAAAATTATACACCATAAAAATGGGATTTAGTCTCAGGAATGCAAGGATGGTTTAACATAAGAAAATCAATCAATGCAAAGCACTATATTGATGGAATAAAGAAAAAAACCACAATCATCTCAAATGGCGCAGAAAAAGCACTTGACAGAATCCAACACAGTTGCATGATAAAAACACTCAAAAAACAAGAAATAGGGGGAAACTTCAACACAACAAAGAAAACTGATTAAAAACCCACAGCTAGCAAGATATTCAGCAGTAAAGAATGAAAGCTTTCTCCATCCCCAAGACTGGAAACAAGACAAGGATGCCTGCGTTTACCAATGCTATTCTAAACTGAACTGGAAGTTGCAGCCAGAGGAATTGGAGAAGAAAAAGAAACAAAAGGCATCCAAGCTGTAAAAGAAGTAAAATTATCTCTATTTATAGATAGCAAGATCTTATACATAGAAAATATGAAAGAATGTACAAGAATGCTACTGGAGCTAACAAGTAAATTTAGCAAAGTTTTAAGGTATGAGATCAACATAAAAAATCAGATGCATTTCTGTTCACCTGCAATGAACAATCTAAAAAGGAAATGAAGAAAACAGTATTATTTATGATAGAATAAAAAATACCTAGGAAAAATTTAACTGAAGTGATAGACAAATACACTGAAAACACCAACATACAGCATAAAGAAATGAGACACAAAGTAAATGGAAAGGTATCCATGTTAGTGACCTGGAGGACGTTAACACTGTCTTGCCAGCAACGCTACCCAAATCAATCAACAGATTCAATGTAATCCCTATCAAAATCCCAATGGCCTTTTTTTTTAATAATAGAAATGAAAAAGTAGTTCATCAAATTCATGTGAAATTGCACGGGGCCCTGAATAGCCAAAACAACATTGTAAATAAAGAATGAAGTTTCACTCATACTTCCTAATTTCAAAACTTACTACAAAGCTATAGTACTGGCATAAGGAGAGACATGTAGACCAGTGGAATAAAATTGAGAAGCCAGAAGTTAATCTATACATCTATGGCCAGTGGATTTTGGACAAGAGTGCCAAGACCATTCAATCCCCATTGAAAAATTTCTTGTTTCAAAAAGTAGAAAAAATAATTCAACAAACAGTTGAAAGAGTCTAGTCCTTCAACAAATAGTGCTGGGACAACTAGATACCCACATGCAAAAAGAATAAAGTTGAACACCTACCTCACATCACATACAAACATTAACTGAAAATGGATAAAAGACCTATATCTAAGAGCTAGAACTGTAAAACTCTTAGAAGAAAATATAGAAGGAAATCTTTATGACCTTGGATTTGACAAAGGAGTACTAGATATGACACCAAAAGTATAAGGAACAAATGAAAAATTTTGACTTTGTCAAAATTAAAACTTTTCTACATCAAAGGACTTTATCAAGAAAGTAAAAAGACAACCTATAATGCGAGAAAATATTTGCAAAGCATGTATCTGATTGGTGTCTGGTACCCAAAATATATAAAGAACTCTTACAACTCAACAACAAAAAGACAAAACTCAATTAAAATATAGGTAAAAGACTTGAATAGACGTTTCTCCAAAGAAGATATATAAATGGCCAATACACACATGAAAATACGCTATCATTAGTTATCAGGGAAATGCAAATCAAAATCACAATGAGATACTACTTCATATCGATTAGGATGACTAGAATAAAAACGTGCAGCCTTGGCTGGTGTGGCTCAGTGGATTGAGTGCCGGCCTGAGAACCAAAGGGTCAGTGGTTTGATTCCCAGTCAGGGCACATGCCTGGGTTGCAGGACAGGTCCCCAGTTGGGGTGCACTAGAGACAACCACACATTGATGTTTCTCTCACTCTCTTCCTCCCTCTCTCTCCCTGTCTAAAAATAAATAAATAAATCTTTAAAAAAAACATGGAAAATTACAAGTGTTGGTGAGAATTTGTAGAAATTGGAACCCTTGGATATTGCTAGTGGAATAGTGCAGCTGCTGTGGAAATACATGGCAGTCAAGTTTAACCTCCAATTACCCTATGGCCCAGGAAATCCACTCCTAGGTATATACCCAAAAGAACTAAACACAAGCACTCAAATAAATACATGTACACATGTATATGGCAGTACTCTTCACAACAGCCAAAAGGTGGAAACAATCTAAATGTCTACCAGTTAATGAATAGTTAAATAAAATGTGGTTCTTTCCATACAAAGAAATATTATTCAGCCATATAAAGGAATGAAGTACTTATACAATCTGCAAACATAGATGAACCTTGAAAATATGCTAAGTGATAGAAGGCAGAAACAAAACATCACATGTACAATTTCTTTTATATGAAATGTCCAGAATATGTAAACCATTAGACAATGCATATTGGTGGTTCACACGTGCCTGAGGGGGTGGAAGAGGCAGAATAATGAGTAACTGTGTAATGGGTACAGGATTTCCTTTCAGGGTAGCAAAAATGTTTTGGAAATAGAGGTGGTTGTTGTACAAAACTCTAAATGCACTAAATGTCACTGAATTGTTTACTTAAAAAAAAACCTGTATGCTTTTGCTTAAAAAAAAACAAACCACAAATGAAAATAAATGTATATAAACACAAATGCACAGGAACAAATCTTGGAGAACAGTACATGGGTATTAATGTTTCTCTCTAGATGGTGGTATTACAGCATAATTACTGGCCAGACTTTATCAAACCAAATTAGAAGGAGTGAGGTAAAGATGCCAGTCATTTAGCTGCTGAAGATACAAAAAGTATGGCCTCTTTCCCTAAACAAACAGGGAATCTGGGGTTCAGGCACAAATGTGTCTATTCACAGGAATCTTCCAGGGACAGATTCCTGGAATGTATCTTCCATATATCTATCTCTATTTTGTTTCATTCAGAGCCTTACCTGAGGTTATTCTCAGGCATTTGAAAAAGCCTGTCTACATAATAAGAGCTCTTCACCAGGACTGCTTTTGGTAGACACAAAATTGCATTGGCTGCCTGACAATGCTGTCACTCAAACTAGAAGACATGGAAACACTTCCTTAAGGATTTCAGCAGCCAATATGAAACATTTCCTTAGACCTTCTGAACACAATTTCTGAACAGTTAATGGAAACAATCCTAGGGCGCCTGACCAAAAATCCAGTGCTTTAACACTTCAGGCCACCAAGTAACAGAAAGGAAAGAGTGTAGGCCTTCGACTCACACACTGGTCCCAACCCTAATTCCAATGCTTGCCAAGTCAATGAACCTAAGGAAGTTCCTTACCTTAGCCTCTTTGAGCTTCAGTACCTATTCTTTATTTTATGAGGACCGAGTAAGGACAAACATGTAAAACACCTGGAACAACATTGGGCACACGACTTCCACTGTCATTTGCTAACAGGTCTAATAAAAATAGTGCTGCCACGAAGAATCACTCACGTGGACCAATTCCTCATCATCTCGTGCAGAGTAAATCGCAAATCTCCTTTCCAGCGTAGTCTGTAGGTTGTCTTGCTCACTGATTGAAAGCTCAGTGTTAACTGTAAATGTTCCAATGAACCTGGAGAGAAGCCAGGAATTCCTTCATGTGAGAGGCCAGAGCAAAGAGGAACTCTGTTCTCTATACCAAGAAAATCAGAAGGGGAAGTCTGGAAAGGGAACTGTGAGTCCCCTGCCTTTATTCTACTCTTCCCACCCTGTTTGGCTAACTCCTGCTCATCACTGAAGACCCAATTTAGACTCTACCTTCCCAGGAGCTTCCCAGACCCTGCAGCTGAGATAAGTGTCCCAGCTCCATGTGCCCACAGTCCCCAGCATACCTCTTCCAGAGCACTGGTCACTACTCTAATTAACTGGGTGTATTTGTCACTTTGACCAACCTAGGAGCTCTTCCAGGACAGAGATCATGCCTGACATTTCTCTACGCTCAATGCCATGCCCACTGTCTGGCTTACAGGATCACCTCAGGGGATATCTGTGGAAATGACTTGCACCCAGCCTCTGAGAGAGACACAAATCCTACACCAAGGCAGTGCCACACAGGTCAGAGGCCATACCATTTCACCAGGTTTGACAGGTAGCAGATATCCATGTCTTGAGGAGGCACTCTGGTGAAGTGGGTTGGGATGATGGAGAGGCTAATAGCCTGCAGATCAGGCTGGTTGCAGATGCTATTTCGATAGAAGCCATTTGCCAGCAGGCACAGAAGGTGAACCTGGGAAGAAAGACAAAAAGGAAGACATGGAAGAAAGGCTAAAAATCAGGTGGATTTTTGCTGCCAAATTAAAAGACATTTTGTGGACAGGAAATATTTGTTGTCATTTCTACATACAAAAAAAGTAAAAATACTAACATTGGCCATTTCCCAAGATTTTTGTCTCCCCCCCTCTTCTATCTAGAGATTCATTCCCTCAAAGAATCCCGAATCTCAAAGCTCAAAATACAAACTTCTTTTCTTCCAAGAGGCCTTGTGTTTTAGAGATATATACCAAAGGGACTATGGATGAAATGCTGCAATGTCTGGGGTTTGCTCAGGAGTGTCAGGGAGTAGTGGAAAGTGAGTAGTGGAAAAGAATAGTAAGACTGCTCACAGGCTAGTAACTGTCAAAGCCAGGGGAGAGCACAGGCTCACTGCACAGCTGCCGGCACCTCTGTGTGTGCTTGAACCCACCCTGCTCTGCTCTGATCCCGCACCAGTCTCACATCTGACCTCTACGCCCACCCTTCCTCAACCTACTGAAATCATCCTGTGACTGTCGTCTCCTTCTTTCACACATAGATTTGCATCATTTTCACTTCAAAATTGGTCTTCCTTCCCACTCATAGCCTTCCTATTTCAATCAATGGCATTGCCCTTCGCCCCTCACTTAAGCTTCAAATCTTGGTCTCTTTCTTTCTTCTCCAGTATCAAGAGGTGCGAGAATCACAGCTATCTCATTTACTCCCCAAGGCTGCTGTGAGGTGGGCATCATGCCAGTTCCCGTCTCATCTCCTCTCTGTTCTTGCTATGTGCACATTTCACCTCTAGGTTTCTGTGGCTGCTGTGGAGTGTCTCCTCCATCCATCCTACCACCACCTTCTCTGCTGCCCACTGCCAACTAGAAGAAAAACCAAAGTCCTCCCTGGCCACACTCTTGTCTGGCCTCCAACACACACATCCTCCAAGATGTGGGCAAACTAGTTGCTCACCCCCCATCCCCTCTGGAACTTGGCGAGAGTGATCCTCCTAGACTCCGTCCTCTCCCATCTCAACATGCTGTCCTCTCTCCTAAATAAAGCCTCCCTCAGCTATCTGCATCCACACTAATCTCTTTCTTTCTTCCAAGTCTTGCGTTTCTCTGTTTTGAGGTCTTTTTTGTTCCATCTTGTGAGATCAGAAACCCTTTAATAGAAGGAAATAAACTTTATACAAGTCTCTCTCCCCATAATGCCAAGAACCTTGCTAGGTCCATAATACATGTTTAATAACTACGATGAAGTCAAAAGCCAGCGACTTCAGCTGAGATCAGAATTAGTGTTATTAAATAGCTGAAAGAAGAGATGGACTATGTCTGTTATTTAGCCCCTGCTCCATGCCAGGTACTGCGCTGTGCACCTTACACGTGTCATTTGCTTAATCCTCATAACCACCCTCTGGGAAAGACACTACGGCTACCCCCTACTTCAAGGATGAGGGAACTAAGACTCAGAGAGAATAAGAAACTTGCCAAGGTCACATAGTGAGTAGGAGATTCAGAAATAAGACCTAGGTTTCACTGACTGGGAACCCAAGTTCTTCCCGCCACAGCATCCTGCCCTGACACAGAGGAATGCTGTCTTTTCCCGTCATTCCTGCCCTCACCTTGTGTGTGTTCTCGTGGACTTCCTTACTGAAACGCTTCATCAGCCTCCGAAGACTTGTCTCAAACTCCATTTGTATTTTTTCACTGCAATGTACATTGAAAAATCCGAGAATGACTGGGGAATTGGAACCTGACTCCATCCCCCAGTTAATTCCTTTTATTTATAATGGCACATGAATTGTTCTCCTTTTTTTCCTACACAAGGCTGTGATACTTGAGTAAATTTTTAAAAAGCTACCCTTTTTCTGCATACCTTTCTGCTCCTTCTCACTTGCAAATTTTAGCTCAGGACTAAATTAATTATTATTAAATTTATTTAGCTCTGCCCATACTGCCCTCCTCTAAACCTGCCCCAAATCATAATTCATGAACATGAGTCAAAACTCACCCCCTCCAGGAAGTCTTCTCTGACTGCCTGACCTTCCAACCACCCAATCCCTCCTTAGCAAACACCACCTTTATATTCAGTTAATGTATACTCATTTGTATTATGCTATTCTGGTGTAAAATCTCTTTCATGTCTGTGTCCCACTCACCTTTAAGAAAATTCGATGCTTCTTGAATGACTTCTATTTTCTTCCCTATGCATGGCTAATAATGTGCCCATCAAACAGTGGAACCCTTTAACCAATAAACTACCAGGTATTATGCTCCATGTTCCCAAGCCACCAGAAGATACAGAGGTACTGGGGACACTGGGGTAAAATGGGGGCTCCCTACCACAGAGGGCACTGTTTCAAGTCTTGCAGAGTGATGTGGTGAGGAAAGCATGACTTCCTGAGTCAGCCTGACAGGGACTTAGAGCTTGGCTCATCCACTTACTGGTGAATGACTCCTGAAATTATATTTAACCTCTCTGGGCCTCTGGCTCCTTCACATACTGCTCTAAAGACTGAGTAAGATAAGGACAACCTTGGCACAGAGAAGTGGTTCAATACAGAGGCATTTTCCCTCCCCATCTCCTGCCCCAGCCAGAACATGAAGGTTTCTCATTCAAGTCATAAAGGTGAGCCCAGGGTTCTCCCAACCGAGGTTCCCACCTTGGTACTCAGCCCTGACCTCCTAGTGTCTCTCAGAAGTTTTCATTAAGTAACAGTTGTTGCCAATGATAAGTGACAGCAAACTAAAAGCAAGTGCCCAATCTTACCTTCTTTCTCTTGCTTTCGCCTGCTCCGGTGTTTCAATCTCTATCTCCACTGGCTTCATAGGCAGGACAGACTGAGAGAAGGCTGCATTTTCTCCCACACCACCTGGTACAGGCTCACTAAGTTCTATCAACAGTAATTTAAAAAGTCAACAACAACAACAACAACAACAACAATAATGATGATAATGGCTACTGTAATGAACAAAATGGAGGTTCTGATGGGAAGGAGGAAGTGAGAAATAGATGCAAGGTGGACAACTGGAGAAAATAAGTACTCCTTCTATACTTTGACTACCTAAAAAACAAGAATAAAAACAACCCCCGCTGCTAGGCATTGTGCTAAGAGTTTTACATTTATTTGTTTCATTTAACCCAGAGAAAAGTAGTCCTGAGAGTACAGAAGGAGGAAACAAAGTCACAAAGATACTGAGTTGAATTAGATACAGGCCCCTGCTACCTAGGAGCTGATGCTTGTGTGTTTTAGTACATACTTACTCTTTTCATTAAAAAAAAAGGCAAGTGAGAACAATTCCTATCTTTTCATTACTATATAACAGTACAATTTACTTTGTATGAAGTAATGATTTAGGTGTCTTTCAGTCTTAGTTGTAAACTTGTAATGACAAGGAATGCATCTTTTTCATCTCTTTATCCCCTTCACTGCTCATCAGCACTAGCTGAAATAAACTGAATTTGCTGAAATGGATCTGTGCACTTTGGTAGCAAAGGGCTCTTATAAAGAAGCTTTGGGCTCAGAAGCAGTAACACATGTTTTGCAATGAACACACCTAATGATAAGATTTTGGTTTCTATATACCAGTCCTCACTAAAATGAACCAGGGCTTCTTGAAATGAACCAAGAGAAACAAGGTTGATTCAAGGTCTGGAACAAGGAAAAGTACAAAGTGAGCCCAGAACACCTTGTTGTGCCAGAAAACATACATGTTCTCAAAAACTAGTAAGGCCATGTCATAAAGGCATGGTAGGGAAGCTACCTTAACGAGGCTTTCACTAGCTGAACTTGGGACAACCTGAAGCTTAAAAAGATAATTGGTAATATATATAATTTGTAAAAAAAAAAACAAACAACTTTAATAATACAACTCCTTTACAGATCACTCAGGTATTAAATGTATATAAAATGATAGAATCCAATAATTATCATTTTGCAATCCTCAATATAATAATTTTTGATCTAGTCATGATCATTAATGCATTCTAAAATGGCTAAGTAAAAATTATTGGGGAACAAGATAATTGCTGAGAATCAGAGCATTACCCCAGAGATAGTTAATAGAAAGGGAGAATGGCTCAATGTCACTAGCCATCAGAGAGATGCAAATTAAAACCACAAGGAGATACCACTTCACACTGGTTAGAATGGCCATCATTAATAAATCAACAAACAAGAGTTGGTGGGAATGTGGAGAAAAGGGAACCCTGGTGCACCACCGGAGAACGCAGGCTGGTGTGGCTACTGTGGAAAACAGTATGAAATTTCCTCAAAAAATTAAAAGTGGAACAGCCTTTTGACCCAGTGATTCCATTGCTGGTAACATCCCCTAAGAATCCCAAAACACTAATTCAAAAGAACTTATTCATCCATATGTTCATTGCAGTGCTATTTACAATAGCCAAGTGCTGGAAACAGCCCAAGTGCCCATCAGTAGATGAGTGGATTAAAGAACTATGGTACATTTACACAATGGAATACTATACAGGAAAAAGAAATAAGAAAGAATTCCTACCTTTTGTGACAGCATGGATGGAACTGAAGACCATTATGCTAAGTGAAATAAGCCAGGCAGTGAAAGACAAATACCATATAATCTCACTTACAAGAGGAATCTAATGAACAAAATAAACTAACGAGCAAAACAGAACCAGAGACCTGGAAACATGGAATGAACTGACAGCAGCCAGAGGGGAGGCGGGTGGGAGGGAGGCAACGGTGGAAAGAATGGAAGGGACTAGTCAAAGAACAAGTATGCATGTATGGATGACACACAGATGTGGACAACAGTGTAGGGAGGAGAACAGAGATAGCGTCATGGACACAGAGCGCGTTTTGATGGTTGCCAGATGGGAGGGGGGAGTGTGGGAATGGGTGAAGAGGTGAGGGGATTAAGAAGTACAAATAGATACAGAATAGCCACGGGGATGTAAGGTACACTATATAGGTAACAGAGGAGCCAAAGAACCTACACACATGACCTATGGATGTGAACAATGGCGTGGAGAATGCCTGAGGGAGTGGGGGTGCTGGTTGGAGGGGGACAGAGTGGGGAAAAATTGGGACAACTGTAACAGCATAATCAACAAAATATAATTTAAAAAAGTTTAATCTGAGCTCTGGCTGGCGTAGCTCAGTGGATTGAGCCCGGGCTGTGAACCAAAGTGTCGCAGGTTCAATTCCCAGTCAGGGCACATGCTTGGGTTGCAGGCCATGACCCCTAGCAACCGCACATTGATGTTTCTCTCTCTCTTTTTCCCTCCCCTCCCTCTCTAAAAATAAATAAATAAAATATTTTTAAAAAGTTTAACCTAAATTCAATCAAGACTCTGGATTTAATTCACAATTTATAAGAAATACACTGAAACAAGTGTGACATCACCATTAGACGTCTAATGATTCATCAGACAAAACCAGAGCCTGAGATACTCTACATAACAAGAGGCTAGAACTCTTCAGTCAAAAAGGCAGTGTTATGGAAAACTAAAGGACACTAATGGAGGGCGGGGGTACTGTTCTAGAATGAAAGAAACTAAAGAGACAACCAATTCAAGGCTTACACCTTGAACAGATCCTAGATTAGAACAAAAGGGGGAAAATGGCTGTAAAGAGTATTTTTATAACAGCCAGGGATTTATTTTTCTTTTTCTTAGGAGTGACAATGGTATTTTACAGTGTAGCGGAATGTCTTATTCTTAGGAAATGCACGGTGTGGTATTTATTGAGAAATGAAGTGTCAAAATGTCTGTGACTTACTCTCAAATGCTTCCACAACACATACTTACTTAAAGATGGCAAAATGTTAGTGAATCTAGATGAAGAGTATATATACTATATTTTCAACTTTCTTGTAGTTTGAATATTTTTCAAACAGACAGCTGGGAAAAGGTCATGCCTGGCAACAGGATTCAGGGATGATAATGTCAGCTGGTTATGTGAGTACGTGATGCACTAGGCCTGTTACATCTGCAACTCCCCCACCCCTCCCACAAGCCCAGAGTCTAGCCTGCTCATAGTAAGCATTCAGTGTTCATTGAATGCTAACCATGAAGAAAACCAGCTCAGACAGGTGGAGTTACTTCCTCGCACAGCTATATGAGGGGAAAAGCTGGGCTCTGACCCCAGGTCTAACTCTTTAAAAATCCATGTGTGTGGATTTTTTTTAAGCCTCTGCTCTTTGTAGAGCAATATTGCCTCTTTACTTCATAATCCACTCCATTAACAGCCAGCAAAGGAAGAGAATATTCAATCTGCTCTAGTAACCTAGTGTTGAATTTTTCCTTATATCAAAAGCAAGTCCCTACTACAACCTTATCTTTGGCCTTAAAAAGTTTCTAAAGAAAACAACAGGATAGCAATCAGTGACATGACTCCAAACAGAATCAAACAGAAAACTAGGATCGGATGATTCCGAAAGCAAAGAAAGATACTTCACCTTCGACCTCTTCCCAGTCATCTTCACTTTCCTCCTCGTCGTCTCCTTCATGGCTGTCTTTGTCCACGGCCGCCTCTCTCTGTGGATGGTGCCCCTTCCTGCAGGCACTTGTAAAGTCCCTGTATGAAGACCACAGGAAGGAAGATGAAGAAGGTGCAAACATCCTGGTATTACACTTAAACTACATGGAATTTTAAGGACTTCTATTTATTGAAAATCTGTTGCAACTATATCTCTATGCAACTATTTAAAGATCACTTGTGAGCTCAGAGCCTCATTTGCTCCATCAGCATGAGCCTCAAATTCTCATCAAGATGTGCTCAGGTCAGTCTGAGACAGACGTGCTGGCGAAACAGAAAGAACCCTGTAACCCTACAGCCTAGAGCTGTGTGAAGGAAAACTTAGCTGTGTCTGGAAATGGGATAGGAAAAGCTACAAGAAAACACAATATAACATGAATTCCAGAAGTAAAAGCTGTGATGTGTGTGTATACACAGTCGGATGCCAGAAAGAAGAAATGGTAATTCGCACTTGCTGATCCTGCTACGGGCCAACTCAGAAGGTCCCCCAGCCCCAGGAAATATGACATAAGGAGACTGAAGTAGAAGTGTAATTTACAGAAAAGTGGGGATGTGACTATACATAGGTATATCATAAATAACAACACAAACCAGGATACCTAGCTAGGTAAGTAGATAAGTAGTTAGTTGTACATCAGTTCAAGACTAAATGGTTGCTAGTGTGCAATACAGGTTTTCCTCATCTTATGATGGGGTTACTTCCCAATAAAACCATTTTAGGTTGAATATATTAAGTCTGGCCCTGACTGGTATGACTCAGTAGGTTGGACATTGTCCTACAAACCGAAAGGTCCCCAGTTCCATTCTCCACCAGGGAACACACCCAGCTGTAGACCAGGTGCCTGGCTGGGGGCATGCGAGAGGCAACCAATCAATATTTCTCCTGTGCATTGATGTAGTCTCCCTCTTTCTCCTTACCTTCCCCCCTCTCTAAAACTAAATAAATAAGCCCTGGCTGGCGAAGCTCAGTGGATTGAGCGTGGGCTGGGAACCAAAGTGTCCCAGGTTTGATTCCCAGCCAGGGTTCATTCCTGGGTTGCAGGCCATAACCCCCAGCAACCGCACATTGATGTTTCTCTCTCTCTCTCTCTCTCTCTCTCTCTCTCTCTCTCTCTCTCTCTCTCCCTCCCTTCCCTCTCTAAAAATAAATAAAAAAAAACACTAAATAAATAATTTCCAAAAAAAGAAAATATCTTATGTCTGTAGATGGCTTCTAATCTTCATCTTCAAGGTGAAAGAAAGCATTTCAGGTAGGAGGAGTATATGAGCACAGCTCAGAGATGGGAAAGTATGATCATGGGTCTAATGATGGTAGAAGTCCCGCTGGGTGGTAGAGTGTGCTTGAGAAGAGTGGTATGAGAGAAAGCTGGAATGGCAGGTAAATATGTTTTATATGTAGTATCTTTGAGTAACAGAAGAACACAGGACCAGGAGTCAAAGACCTGGGTCTCACCTGGTTTTTCCCACTACCTGTGTAACCACAAATAAATCACTTTCTGCAAGCTGTCGCTGTCCTCATCTGAAAAGTTTGGGAGGTAAAAATCTATAATCACTAAGATTCTTTCTAGCTGTTACTAGCAGTCTGAACTCTATCTAGAAGAGTTTAAAGATCCAGTCTTCCCCTGGCTGGTATAGCTCAGTGGATTGAGCGTGGGCTGCGAACTAAAGTGTCGCGGGTTCAATTCCCAGCCAGGGTACATGCCTGGGTTGCAGGCCATAACCCCCAGCAACCATACACTGATGTTTCTCTCTCTCTCTCTATCTCCCCCCTTTCCTCTCTAAAAAAAAAATAAATAAAATCTTCAAAAAAAAAAAAAAAAAAGATCCAGTCTTGTCCATGGATCCTAGTGACGAGCACAAAGTGTAGGTTTTATTAATCACACTTTCCTGATGGCAACAATCAAGACCTCTTACCTGAAATCTTCCCCATCACTGAAGTCTTCCTCCTTTACAGCCTTGAGGTTTTCAGACTTCACAGTCACCTTGGCCACTTTCTTTTTTGCTGGAGCATCTGCTGGGCCCCCAGGACCACCACGGCCCCTCTTCCTCTTTCCCTGTGAGGCTTTTGAGAGCAGACTCTCCTTGGGGGGTTTTTCATCTTCAAAAACATCTAGATGACCACACGGGACAGGTAAGGGACAGTAAGAACAGGTAAGGGACAATAGGAAAGGTGGATGCAGAGTGGTTTCACGGGCAGGGTCATGAAAACTCCTGTTCTGTAACCTCCCTCCAAACTGAATCTTCATTACCAGCTCACCATGCCATGTCTGGTCAACAACCAGCTTTCAGCCTCTTCCCAACTTCAGTCCATCCTACGCTGTGCTCCCAGCAAAAACCTGATGATCTTCCTTCATCAGCATTTTATTCTACTCCTTCTAAGACCACAGAGAGGCTCCCATATGACTCAAATAAAACCTAACTTCCAAATCTTAAATTTCTGTGAATATCCAACAAGAAAAATATACCAATCCATCAACTAACCCCTTGCTTATTTACTACCTGCCAAGACTATTAATTTTAGGGATAATCTTCTCCTATTAAGTGAAATGTTCTGAGCTCACAAATACAACCAAGTTTTACCACAATCTTATTTCTACAAATAAGTATTTCCACTGTCTTTCAAAATCAAACTCTGGCCCAGTCTTGGTGTGGCTCAATAGGTTGGAGTGTTGTCCCGTACCTGAAATGTTGTGGGGCCAGTTCAATACCTGGTCAGGGTAGGTGCCTAGGTTGCAGGTTTGAGCCCCAGTCCAGGCGTGCAAGGGAGTCAACCAATTGATGCTTCTTTCTAGCACTGATGTTTCTCTCTCTCCCTTCCTCACTCTCTAAAAAAAGCAATGAAAAAACTGTCCTCTGGTGAGGATTTAAAAAAAAAAATCATACTCTGCTCAGAACAAATACTTTTTAAAAACATTTCCAATCTAACCCAAATGGCACCTGGTACACTAACCATCTCAGCAAGCTTAGGGTCGGAATAAGATAGTAGTGATCACCTCTACTTTCTTAAAATAATTATTTTTTTTTGCTGAAGAGAAATATAAAAATGCATAAGATGTTGGTTTTAGTTAAATTAGGGTATCTAAACTATGGTCTGTTTATTAATATATTAATTTTTAATGAGCAAATAATTTCTAAATAACTTGGCAGAAAAGGACCTTTTCTATTTTGCAAATCTATTCATACAAAAAAAATCTTGAATCTGAAATAAATTTCCTTTGCCTTTTCCTGACTCTGCTTCAATTAATTTTGGAAAACAAAAATACTTTACCTAAATTGAGGTTCCAAGGGAGCTGCATGAGCTAACCTATGATAGTAAATCAATTCATTCCTTTCATTTATGGTTTGTCCTGCTGACTTTCTTGGGTTATTTATATTCCCCAAGAACATACTTTTGCATGGGAAAAAGACTCTCCATTTTGAGCTAAATATTGGGTTGGCCAAAAAGTTTGCTAAGTTTGTTCCGTATGATGGCTCTAGTAGTGCTTAGCTGTCTTTAACTTCATTCAAAACAATTTTGTTAAACTGCATTGTAACAGCTGTCATATCAGCATGCACTTAAAAAACTTTTCAAAATTGGTGAATTTTTCTATAGCCATTTATTGAAGATGGAAGAAAATATACATTTTCAGCATATTATGCTTTATTATTTCAAGAAAGGTAAAAACACAACTGAAATGCAAAAAAATATTTGTGCAGTGTACGGAGAAGGTGCTGTGACTGACCGAACATGTCAAAACTGGTTTGCAAAACTTCTTGTTACTACTGACATTTCGGTCAAATAATTCTTTGCTGTGGAGCTGTCGTATGCATTGGAAGATGTTTAGCAGCACCTCTGGCCTCTACTCACTAGATGCCAATAGCAGGAGATAGCTGACATACTCAAAATACCCAAATCAATCAAGTTATTGGTGAAAATGAAAAATGTGCTTAAGGAAAAAAACAAATGGACTTTTGGGCAAACCCGATAAAATCATAACTTCATTTTAATAAGTTTTACATTACAGGGGCATTTGTTTCAATGCTAGATAAAAATCACTGACTCAGTTGTTTCTTTCAAATGTTTCATAGAAGGAATTTATGTACTCCCATGTTTTCAACATTTCAGTGAAAATACAAAATATTTCAAAATTAGTTATGCAGAATCTAAAAACAGATTTCCTAGTCCAAGGCCAGAAGCTGCTTAAAAGTTTATGGCTCGACAGTTTCAGTAGGGTACCCTTAAAATCAGGACTTCTGTCTCTTACAATGGTCTTTAGCCCTCTGGTAATAAGCAAACATACAAAGTACTTCATTTTTACTGATGTAAAATGCAGGTGGGAAGATTCTTCAGAGGCATTCTTCCTTCCTCACCAAACTTATCTGGTTGGTTAAAAGGTGCTGTGTATTTTTGTGCTTTGAAGAGAGAGGTAGAAGAGTCAAAAGTGGGGAAAAAGAGACAAAAAACTGAATCAAAAAAAGTTCATAATACCATTATTCATAGTATCTCAGTATTTTAAAAATCCATATGTCTAACCATGAGATAATCATTAATTCCAGTACAGTCACACAATGAAATACAATTTGGTTATCTGTTAAGACAAAGGAATATGACCTAGGACAAAATGTTAAGTATGCAAAGATGTTTTTATATTATGGATTCTACTATACAGAACAACACAAACCAGAAGTAAATATATTGGGTTGGCTAGAGAGTTTGTTTTTTTTCCCATAAGATGGCTCTAGTAGTGTTTGTCTTTAACTTCATTCGAAACAATTTTGTTAGATTGTATTGTGACAGCTGTCATATCAGCATGAACTTAAAAAAAACTTACCAAAATTGGTGAATTTTTGAGTACCCATTTATTGAAGATGGAAAAAATACACAATGTTTTCAGCATATTATGCTTTATTATTTCAAGCAAGGTAAAAACACAACTGAAACACAAAAAAAGATTTGTGCAGTGTATGGAAAAGGTGCTGTGACTGACATGTCAAAAGTGGTTTGCGAAGTTTTGTGCTGAAGATTTCTTGCTGAATGATGCTCCATGATTTTGTAGACCATTTGAAGTTGATAGCGATCAAATCCAGACATTAATTGAGAGCAATCAGTGTTATACCACTTGGGAGATAGCCAACATACTCAAAATATCCAAATCAATGAAGTTATTGGTGAAAATGAAAAATATGTCTTTTATTTTATGGGAAAAACATATGGACTTTTTGGCCAACCCAATACCATTATTTAGTGGTGGTTATTTCTGCATGGTAGAAATAAAGATGATTTTTTCCTCTATTATTTTTTTTAAGATCTTATTTATTTTTAGACACGGGGAGGAAGAAAGAGGGAGAGAAACATCGTGTGGTTGCCTCTCGAGCGCCCCCTACTAGGGACCTGGCCTGCAACCCAGGCATGTGCGCCACACTGGGAATCGAACCTGCAACCTTTGATTCACAGGCCAGCACTCAACCACTGAGCCACACCAGCCAGGGCTCTCTATTCTTTGCAGGGTTTTTCGGTCCCAGAGATTCTAGAGGCTATTTTCTAGGACTCTCCATGATCTAGGGCTATCTAATATGGATAAACCAGGCCCCTTGAACTCAATGTGGTTATTTTAGCAAGGCAGGAATTACCACTGTGGTTTGCTTGGCCATCTATGGAGATTTAAGAAAAACACCTGCTTAAACCTGTCAGCTGCCTCTCATAGCACTTGGTATAAAATACAAATTCCTTAGCTTGCTCTCCGAACTAAGGGTTATGCCCACCTCCCTCACCTCAATCCCTGCTCCTTATCCCCTTACTCACTGATCCAGCCAAGCGGCCAAGCTCATTCCTTCCTAAAAGTCTTTATTTATATTTGTTTGTTTGCATAATTCTTTTTAAATTGAATTTATTGGGGAGACATTGGTTATTAAAATTACATAGGTTTCAGGTGTACAATTCTATAATACATCATCTGTATATTGTATTGTGTGTTTCACCATCCCAAGTCTTAATTCTTTGCAACCTAAGAATCTTTAAATGTTCTCTCTGCTTGGATCTCTTTTCCCCCAAAGCTTCCTATGAATGGCTCCTCCAGGACATTCAATAACTGGCTCAAAAATGTCACCTCCTCACAGAAGCCTTCATGACCACTGATTCTGACTTAGCTGCTTCTTCCCCAACCTCATGTCAGTTTTACGACAATAACCTGTTTTGCTTTTTTCATAGCTCTTATCACCATGGAAATTTATTTTTAACTTCTTACTGTCTGTCCTACCTACCTCCCCCACAAAGATTACAAGCTGCCTGAGATGCAAGAACTTTGCCTGTCTTGTTCATTACTATAATTTCATTGCATGCACTGAGGTGCTGTTAAAACCTACACTGTTGAGCTATTAGAAGTAACAGTCCAAAACACAACCACAGCAAACTCCAATCCCAGCAAAGATTCTAGCTCTTCAGATCCTAGAAGCTGCTTTGGGAAACTACTGCTAGCTCCTTTGGCTAGCAGAGGTTTTTTTTTGTTTGTTTGTTTTTAAATTAATCTTCACCCAAGGACATTTTTTTCATTGCTTTTAGAGAGAGAGCAAGGAAGAGAGGGAGAGAGAAACATTAATTCGAGAGAGAAGCATTGATTGACTACCATATGCACTCAGACTGGGGACAGAACCCATAACCTAGGTATGTGCCCTACCAGGAATTGAACCCACAACCTTCCAGTTCCAGGACAATGCTCCAACAGAGCCACATCGGCCAGGGCTGGCTAGCAGAGTACGAGTTAAGCTTGGATACATCCTTACCTACATTTAAACTGAACTAATATGAGCTAGCCCAACTGACTACCTAACGTGGACCATGCCAAGAACTGTATATACTATCTCACTGAAAAATCACAACCACTTTGCAAGACAGTATTATGTTTCACAGACAGGGTTCAGAAAGGTTAAATTATTTGTCTAGAATAATTTTTCCAAGTGCGTATAATGACTGAATGTGGAGCTATACCAAGCTGGTACCCAGATAAAGTGTATAGCTGAAAGAAACGCTACCCAAGCAGGTAGCAGTTCTGCCAGATTAAGATTTTTAATTTTTGAATTGTCGCATATTCAGAATACATTCCTTTTAGAATTCTTACTAGCATACCACCCCCACTCTCATAGCCTCTTGCTAAATTACCCACCTTAAAGTCACAGATCAACTCCTTCAGAGAGCATTTCCCAATACTATCTTCAGTCACACCTGACTACTCCTTTGGAAGCCACAAAGCCCTGTATCTTCTCCCATGATATCACACTCTGCCTTGGGTATTTTTGTAAATGTCAACACTATTATACTTTAAGCTCCTCCAAGAAATCTCAATCGTCCATGTCACCTAGTTTGTGTATACCACACAGCTGGTACTCTGAAAATATTCAAATGTTGCACCCCTGTTGGTTATCTAGTCTAATCCATTACCTAGTTATTTCATGAATCTCTCCACAGCATGCATTTTGCAATTATTAACAATATTTATTGAGCACTTAGTATATGTGGGGTGAGACAATAGCAAAAATAAGATGCTTTTTTAAGCTTAAATTCTAGTAACATGGGCAATCAAAAAGGAAGCAAATAAATCAACAAGATTATTGAGGTAGCAACAGCCAAATCATGCAGGGACTTGCAGGCTATGATGAGGAATTTGGATTTTATGTCAAGAGCAATGGGAAATCACAGAAAGTTTGAAGTAGGAGCATGTTATGATCTGATTTTTTTTTTTTTTAAGATCATCACTTGGGTTGCTGGGTGAACTATTTATTGCAGGAGGAGGAATGGGAATAGGGAGACCAGTGAAGGGGCAACTGTGGTCGTTCAACTAACAAAGTGATGGCTTGGGCAGGGGCCGGGGTCATGGAAATAAATAGAAGTGGAGAAATGAGATATAGCTCTGAGATTGAAGTGATAGGACTTGCTGATGGACTGGATGTTTGCGTTTAAGGAAAAGGAGGTGTTTACTTTAACTAGTGGGTGATGGGATCATTTATTGAGGTGGGGAAGAGGCAAGTTGAAAGGGGAACACCAAGAGTTTTGCTTTGCCCAAGACAAACATAAGAATAAGAAGCCTATCTTATATCCACGTAAAGTCAGGTTGGATCCAAATCTGAAAGTATGGGGTGAGCTTTAGCTGACGATATTATTCTGGGAGTGAGCACAATAACAGCACTGATTGTCCTGGTCCACTGTCTTCTGGGGACACAAACAGCTGCAAATCCCTTTTCTATTCAGCCCTTTGCATCTACCAGGAGGTTGGGCTTTATGTTGTGGGTAACAAAGACCAGAAAAGAGAATAGCAGGGGAAGTTCGTGGTTAGTAACCGCTCAGAGAGCTTCATTCCTTGCCTGAGGACAGAGGCAGAGCGACGTCAGGGAGGAGCCGGAAGCAGCACAAACACCTGCCTCCGGTAACGTCCGCTCCTTAGCAAAGATGCGCGCGGCGCAGCCTCTGCCCCACATCTCCACGGGGTCGAACTCCCCACTCCCCGAACCCAAGGCCTGCTGCCGGATCTCCTTCAGCGTCTCCTCCTAAGCCCAGCTTGGCTTCGCTCTCACCTGCCTCCTTTTCTTCACGCTGGACAGTGCTCCTACCCTTGGCCTTTTGGCTGCGTGGTTCGTGCCCCCTCGACTCCTTGCAGACGGCCCGCTTCCGGGCCATGTTGCCCGGGCAAAACTACTTTTTCGAGTGACGCAGGAGGCTGCGGGAAGCCGCTTGTGGTCCGGCTACGCCCCCAGGTGGGAAGATGCCTGACCACGCCCCTGTCTTTTATATACTAAGCCACGCCCCAAGACGAAGTTCCGCCTCTAATAAGCAATGCAAACTGCTGGAAGCAAGAGGAGGCAAAACAGACTTTTACTTCCGGTGCATGGCGTTCTCGCGTTTCCGAGCTTGGAGAGGCTCGAGTGATAACGCGAGAGTCGGGAAAGGGCGCAGGGTTTGAAACATGGCGGACGACGTGGACCAGGTGAGTGCTTCTTGAGTTGCTCGTGGAATAGCGGCATCCTCACGCCCAGCTGGCCCTGTTCGGTTTTGCATATTAGGGCTGCTTTCTTCAAGTTTATAGAAGGTAGTCTATCTTGCCGCTTGTCTCTGGGTTGTTACGGCTTTGAATTTTGCCTCAGGCCCTGAAGTCTTTTTAGAAGTCCGCCTGAAAACTAGTTTCTCCGCCCGCTCTTTCCCTTCTCTGAGTTTCACCTTTATCTACAGAATGGGAATTCTCCATGCGTGCCTCACAGAACTGTCGGGATTCTACTAGCGTGATAATAAAGTTACGGAGTTTTGTCATTACTGAGCGCTACAATTATTACTCCTTCAACAGATACTTCTTGAACATCAGCTTTGTATGGTTAGATACGGCTCTAAACACCAGGGACCCCGACATTGACCCCACTTGGATCTTGTACTGTGGAGGACAGATAAAAAGTAAACGCAAATATGTGCGATATGTAGAAACTGAGATGTGGTATGAAGGCAACAAACAAGGAACTGGTTTACAGGAGAACTGATAGTCCTACAGGCTTTCTCCCTACCCTTCCTCCTTCCCAACATACTCTTCCTCAGATTGTTGATCGTTGTGCATCAGGCCACAACTTCTACTGAAATCTCACCTCATCAAAGAGGACTTTTTTGGCCTCCTACATAAAATAGCACTCTCCCCAGTCTGTTTTTTTTTTTTTAATTTCATGACATGTTATTCGTTCATATTAAGTGCAAGCTTCATGTAATGTCTGTCTCCTGCTCCTGCCTCCCAGAATGTGCATTTCTTAAGAACAGGAGTTTTGTGCACTGTTCTGTCCTTGGGATTTAGAACAGGGCTGGAAACACTCAGCACATTTATTGAGTGAATGAATTGGGTGATCAATGAGGCCTCTTTGCAAAGGAATATTTAAAGCTACAGGTTGAAAAGGGTAGAGAGTGGGCACCCCCGACAAGCTAAAGGAGCAGTAGTCCTCTGCCATGTGTATATTCTTATAGTATTATAATTATTTATATACCTCCCTGGACTAGCATGAGCCTTGAGGGCAGGGAGTAACTTCTGTATCGTTGTAACCTAGTTGGTCCTTAACAAACACCGGTTGAACTAGGGATGGGGACCAGTTGAGTCCAGTGTTTTTTTTTTTTCCTTCTCTCACCTAGCCTTTTAAGGCTGTAGAGCCTGTAATGTTCAGTCACCTTCCTCCATTGGCTTCCTGTACTCACTGAAGAAGCTCTCTCTGAATAATTTTATCAACTCTCCTGCCTTCAACCATCCATCCCAACCACATGGATGACCCCAAGTCATCCTGGCCCTGATCTGACACCTGTTTCCAAATATTCTTTAATATAAACAGTAACAATCATTTATACATACTCTTTGCCAGATACTATTTTAAATACATTAAATATGTTAGCTAATTTAATCCTAAGAATCATGAAGGGAAGATTGTGGCTTCTTCATTTTATAGCCAAGAAAACTCAGAACTAGAGATGGCATAATTTTTAATCTTGATTCATAAATGTCAGAGTCAGGAGTTGCCCTCATGTTGCCTGACTCCCAAACCAGTGCTTTCGGCCAGTATTCTATACAGCCTGATTAATATATTTTTCTTATTGGCCATTTGGCACCCTAAAGTCAGCCTGCCCTGTACTGAACTCATAATCTTCCCCCAAACCTCCATCTCTGCTTAGCAATCAGGCTAGTGTATACTAATCATTAAGTGAATATTTTTCAAATTACTAAATGATATTTGAGATAAGGCTAACATCCCTGACAGTGACTCCCTATACCCTGAAATTGGGTCAGGAAGTTTGGATTTTCAGGGAACAAAGTACAGTCATTATGTTGCTGTATAACTCCTTCTTGTGTGTGTGTTTCAGCTCTCATTTGTATAGATAGCATTTACTTTGTGCTAGGTACTCTTCATGTGTCATTTAAGCCTTATAACAAGCAGTATGAGGTGTGTACTATTGTAATCCACATTTTACAAACTATGAGACTCCTACATGGAGGTGTTAGGTTATTTGCCCAGGCACACAGCATAGCATTGATTTGAGCACTACATTCTCTCTAGTAATTATATTACTAAGCCTGTTTTTTTTATCAGCAACAAACTACCAACACCGTAGAAGAGCCCCTGGATCTTATCAGGCTCAGCCTGGATGAGCGAATTTATGTGAAAATGAGAAATGACAGAGAACTTCGAGGTAGATTACATGTAAGTAAATTTATTAAATTACCTTGAAATCAGATGATTTTCTTGTCATCTCCCCCTACTCTCATGCCCTTCAAATGTAGAAAATGTCCACTGTGGAAGAGCATTTTGAATGTAGAAGATAGCAAAGTGGAAGGTCACCTGTATTTCTGTAAGTCAAAACTTATTTATTCATATTTTTAACATTTTTTTCCTAACAAATTTGAGTCTATTCTTTAATTTTTTTACTTCTATTTGCAAATAACGTGTCTCCATTCTTTTATTTAAATGTTCTTTAAATTACTGACATATACATAGATCTGTGTTTTCTTGTGGAAAAAAATTAAACAGCGCAGAAGTATGTAGAGTAAAAGGTGAAATCCCATTTCTTCTGCTGGTAACCACTATTAAAAACTGGGTCTCTGGTTTTTCAGACCTTTTCTGTATATTCACGTGTATATATTTATATTTATGTCCATATGTATATGTTTGCACTATATACACCATCTCTAAAAGAATGGGATCTTGCTATAAATATTTTTGAGCACCTTTCTATTTCACTTAATCTTCCTTGGAAGTTATTGATCATGAACGCATTTAAATCCTTACTTTTTTCAATGCTTACATGGAGTTTTTTAATTTAATTTAAGTCATTTGTTTATATTTCAGTTACAGTTGACTTACAGTATTAGTTTGAGATGTATGCCATATGTAGTTATTAGAATATTATTGACTATATTGCCATACTTTAATCCCCATGACTATTCTGTAACAACCAATTTGTACTTCTTAATCTTGTCACCTTTTCCATTCATCCCCCATATTACAACTGTCAAAATATTCTCTATATAAGTCTGTTTCTGTTCTGCTTCTTTATTTTGTTCTTTTATATTCATTTGTTGATAGATAAGTATTTATTGTTCATATTTTTTATCATTTTTTCTTCTTAAAGAAGACAGACATTTTATATACTGGTTTGGTAGTGATGAACTCCTTTAATTTTCATCTGGGAAGCTATTTATCTATATGATAGTTTTGCTGGGTAGAGTAATCTTGGTTATAGGTCCTTGCTTTTCATCATTTTGAATACTTCTGACCTGCAAAGTTTTTGTTGAGAAATCAGCTGACAGTTTTATGGGGGCTCCCTTATAGATAACTAACTGCTTTTCTGTTGCTGCTTATAAGATTCTCTCTTCATCTTTAACTTTCGTGTTTTAATTATGCTGTGTTTTGGTGTGGGCCTCTTTAGGTTCGTCTTGTTTGGGACTCTTTGCACTTCTGGACTTGGATGGCTATTTCCTTCACCAGGTTAGGGAAGTTTTATTGTCATTTTTTCAAATAGGTTTTCAACTTCTTTCTCTCTTCTTCAGGCATGCCATTGATGTCAGTGTTGGTATGCATGAAATTGTCCAAGAGACTCCTTACACTATCTTCATTTTGGGTGGTTCTTTCTTTTCCTTTTTGCTCTTTTGTTTGGGTGTTTTTGCTTCCTTATATAGCAAATCACTGATTTGATTCTCAGCTTCATCTACTCTACTGTTGATTTCCTGTAAATTATTCTTCATTTCAGGTAGTATAACCTTCATTTCTGACTGATTCTTTTTCATGGTTTCCATCTCCTTTGTATGCTATCAAAGTATTGAGTTCAGCTACTCTTCCCCTAAGTTCATTGAGCATCCATATAACCAGTATTTTGAACTCTGCATTTAGTAGATTGCTTGTCTCTGTTTCATTTAGTTCTTTTTCTGGAGTTTGTTCTGTTCTTTCACTTGGACACGTTTCATTGCCTCCTCACTTTGGAAGCCTCGGTGTGTTTATTTCTGTGTATTAGGTAGAGCTGCTGTGTCTCCAGGGCTTGGTAGAGTGGCCTAATGTAGTAGGTGTCTGTAGGGTCCAGTGACACAGCCCTCCCTGATCACTGAAACTGGGCACGCCAGTTGTGTTCCCCCAACCCCATGTGAGCTGTGTACCCCTTCCTGTTGTAGTTGAACCTTGATCTGTGTTGGCACATCAATGGGATTTACTCCCCAGGTGGATTATCTGCGAGGACTGGCTGGAGGGGTCCGCCCAACAGAGCAGGACTTACTTTAGCAGGGCTCTGATGCCTGCTGAATTTACCCTGTGAATGTATCACTGTGGTGATACACCACAGTGGTGTTCAGCATGGTCTGCAGCTGCCCACAGGGAGTGCTGGCTCTGGCACCTCCTGGGAGGTTCAGGTGAAGGTCCGTAACCACTTGTGTTCTGCCTGGGGCCATGCGGCTTGAGCTACATAGTGATCTGCAGCTGACTGCTGCTTGTGCTGGGCTTGTAGGTGCCCAGGAGAGGCCAAGCTGCAGACCATTGTCAGCTGCTGCTAGTGCCAAGCCTGGGGCCACTTAGTGAGAGGTACAGGGCAGCTGAGGCCAGATGTCACTTGTTTGAGAGATTTTAGTAAAGTCTAAAGCATGAGCCAAGACAGGCCATTTGTATGGAAAAGGCACTGGAAACAGCTTGGGTGGGCCCCCAAGTTTTGTGGGGTGAGGCCTCAGGGAATGAACAGGGTGGGGTAAACAGTGTTAGCCAGGTTGATGTAG